AATAAAATTAAAACAACAAAATAAAAAAAAAATTATATTTACGCATCTAATTTTTGTATATAAAAATCTTTTTGGAAATATAATTCGATTTTTCTTTTACAAAATGATTTTTAAAAAATTTTGAATCGAACCGATCAAATGCTAAATCCTAAAATTGCCCCTAAACTATCTAATCTCTCCGTGCTACAGAATCCAAATAATAACACAGTAATAATAGAGAAATTATTCAATGGAAGAGATATTTTCGCTTGCTACATATTTCATGAATTTATGATATTATTTTTCATATAAATTATAAATATAACAACAATTAAATTTTGATCTAAATTAGTTAGAATTGACTTATCAATCCTTTATTTTCCAATATGCTCTGATAGATAAATAAATATTTGTATCATCTTGAACGTGATTCTCACTTCATACTCATTGACATTTTAAGCTAAATTGAAAAAATTTGATGACTATAATAATTGAAGACGACGAATTATATAAAATAATTGGTTATATTAAAATTATCAAATATTTATATTCTCATTCAATTTTTAATTTGAATTTCTTTTTGAGTAAGGATACATTGATCATCATAATTAATATTTCATTTAACTAAAATTTATAATCCTATTAATTATTTAGTGCAAAATTTATAAATTCACTTATATTTATTTACCAAAAAACTTTATACACTTCAAACTTTTATGACTCATGAAAAATCTATATCTCCAAAACTATAAATTTTGTAAAAGGATATCAAATTACATATCATCGTTATTTTAATCTATTGAGCCTTTTAATGAATAAAAAATATAATTTCTCCATAAATTTAGCATTAATGAGTTATTATTGGGACCTTGATGAGCGTTGGAATATGAATTAGGGTGCTACTGGATCGAATTACTGGACATTTGGGCCTAGGGGCAAACATAAACATCTAAAATTCTTTTCCCCCTCTTCAATCGGTCATCATTTCCCAACTAGTAGCCCAACGACAAATGAGAGAAAACACATGTCGTTTCTTATACTTTTCCAAAGAACCAGAGACGAACATGAAGGACCAATAACTATTAGAAAGCTAAATAAAAATGGAATGAAGATAGTATGATAAATTGAAGTTTGTGGCTCTAAAATCCAAAAACAACATATAACAATCAGAAGAGGATGCAAAAGACAATAACTTAAGAACCTAAGTCACAAAACTGCCAGATAACTGAAACTGAAACCAAAAACAACAGCAAGACATAACTTAAAACAAAACATAACTAAACTAACTGTAACTTCATTCACCCAATGCTTTACTTTTTCTTTGCTGCGGATTTGGTGACCTTTGCACCAGATGGATCCTTCTTCTCAACACTCTTGATGACACCAACAGCAACCACACCAGATGGATCCTTCCTTCTCAAGCACTCTTGTGATGACACCAACAGCAACTGTCTTGGCGCATGTCCCTACCGAGCACAACGAACCCAGAGGAGGTAACACAGAAAAGGTCTCTCACAACTCATGGCCCTTGGTGGCATCTCATCTATCCACAAATCTCCAGCAATCACCATTCTTCAAAGCATTCTTCTGGCATCCTTCTTCATCAGCCTCCTTTACCAGATTCGCCTATCAAGTCTTTGATGGGTGCTCGATGGCGGTAGAGGGTTAAGGAATTATCAGCAAAAGCTTAACAGCATTGTGGGTGAGGTGTGCATTCAATGACAGAATGCAATATCCGTTTCCCAATTTGAGAACTCACAGACTGGTGGTTCAATGACGATGGGACGCTGAGAGGTGAAGTTGTGAGCAAGCTTCCTTCGCAGGATCATCCTGAGTTAAGGCATACAAAACCAGACGTTCAAATTCCGATTGACAGCAACATTCGCTGCACATTGAACAGGCCAACATGTGTCACGGTGGAAGGGCCTCGACTTGGAAGAGCTTTCGCTTCGGTGACAATCTTCAAGCCGAGAAGCTTAACGACATTCAGTGGTCCAGTCCAGAAGGTCCGAGAGGTGACAACCAACCAGGTTTTAAGACACCAGTCTCACACACGACCGTGACAGTTGCCGATACTACCCACTGTAGACACCTGAAATGGGAGACCGGAAGTGGTTGTCTGTTGCTCTTTGCTCATTGAGTCAAGTCGAGGCCTCAAGGAGGGTAAGGGCCCTTGTACAATCGAGTTTTGTTGACCTCTTGTCAATCCAATGTTTACACCCTCAAGACAGAGGATTGGCACAAAATGGGGATCGTTGTCAGGTTGTAAACCACCTTCTTTCAAAAGTATGAAGAACTTCCTCACAATTTCCATCGTATCGTAGGCCTAGAGTATCTTGGGGTTGTGCATCCAATCAATCACATAAAAAGAATGAAGTTAACATGACAGGGACAAAAAATTACAACACAACTGCTACAAGGAAACCAACATTATACAGGCAGCGACCAAAAAAGGCTCACTTGTTGCAGCAACAGATTCATACGCTCACCACCAAGACGGAAGAGCAAAGCCAAGAGCAATGCTCACAGGGGTCTGCACGCATCCTGGATTACCCGAGTCTTTCGAAACTCGTACCGTAGTAGGTAGAGTCAATAATGAAACCACCAGTGGTAGAGTCAATAATGAGCACAGCACAGTCAGCCTGTGAGGTACCAGTGATCATGTTCTTGATAAAGTCCCGATGTCCAGGAGCATCAATGACAGTGCAGTAATATTTAGTGGTCTCAAACTTCCAAAGAGCAATATCAATGGTGATACCACGCTCACGTTCAGCCTTAAGCTTGTCCAAGACCCAAGCATACTTGAATGACCTTTTGTTCATTTCAGCAGCTTCTTTCTCAAATCTCTCAATCACACGCTTGTCAATACCTCCAAGCTTGTAGATTAAATGACCCGTTGTTGTTGACTTGCCAGAGTCGACATGGCCAATGACCACAATGTTAATGTGAACCTTCTCCTTACCCATGATAAAATTTGGGAGAGAAGCTGAAATGATAAATCGAAGATGTTAGGTAAAATCATCTAACACAACATAATTTCACCAGAACAAAAGACAACCCAATAACCACACGTAATGATACGGCCTTTTGGTTAAGTATTTATTCTCAATAATGAAACACATTTGAACGTGATAATCTAATCCTCAGCCATTAAAAGTCAAAATAAGCTAAAAATAAACAGACCGAGAAAATATTGAGTAACAAAACTCAGGACTAGCTTTTGACAAAATATTCAAGTAAAGCAGGCGTGGCTGCTGGGATTCGAGCCCAGGTCTCCACATAACAGTGTGGAATTTACCATTAAAGTACAGCCACCAAAAAATTAGTCTTTGAACCTGGAATTAGGCACCCATTACCATCAAAACAAACAGCGATATAAATCAAATATTTAAACCGGTTTGCTTTGGCCTAATCTCTAGCGACAGATGGTGAATCAAAAACTCAATAGCATAACACCCCTAAGCTAAAGCAGTAATCTAATTTATCATATAGAAAAAGAGATCGGCTCGAAAAAACAAACCACATAAACGAACACGGTCCAAAAAGCATTATTTAGACAAAACAACCAGATCCAATAACATATTAAGAAACCCACAGAGATTATAAACTCTTAAGAATAAATCAGATCTATCACAAGCTTTTCATAGTCAATAACATCGGAGAAAAACTGAACCAAATTGGAGAAAAAACAAACCACATAAACGAACACGGTCCAAAAAGCATTATTTAGACAAAACAACCAGATCCAATAACATATTAAGAAACCCACAGAGATTATAAACTCTTAAGAATAAATCAGATCTATCACAAGCTTTTCATAGTCAATAACATCGGAGAAAAACTGAACCAAATTGGATCTAATCTATCGAACACATAAACAAATATATACACACATGTATGTATGACACATAACGGAAGAGCAGAAGAGATCGAACCTTAAAAATAATAACAGAGAAAACGACTCTTAGAGGAGGAGAATTGCTAGCAGAAGAAGTGCTCTGTCGCAGAAAAAGGGAGAGTGTAGAAAGCAAGCGAAAGAGGAAGAGCGAGGCTGCTTGCTCTGGTTTAAGTATTGTCTTAACATCGCTAAAGCCTTTGGCCTAAGTAGGGTTTCTCTTTCATCCGTTGGATTACTTTATCAACGGCTAGTATTAATCGCTCATCTAAGCCGTTGAACTTCTGATATTTTTATCTTGCGTCTCATATTATGCCACGTTATATTTGCAATGTGAAATTACGACATTGTTCTTAATATTATTGAGGCATAGTGGATTTTTCCGGATGAACATGGGTTTTCGCACCTCAATACGACATAATCTAATAGTAAGTGTATTAAGAATCAACGATAGACACAGATTCAAACCTCCCGTCATAATTCAATTTTATTTTGATAATAAAATTTAAAATAATTGAATAAAGCTACATTATATATATTTATACATTTAATTTTAGTATATATATATTCTTTTTTTTTTAAATTTAACTCGATTTAATTTTTTTTAAATGATTTTTAAAAAAATTTAAGTCGAACCTATCAAATTGCCCCTGAACTATTTTATTCTCTGCATGCTACAATATCAAAATAATGATATAGTGACAACACATTAATAATAGAGAAATTAAAATTATTCAATGAGAAAAATTTTGCCTACTACATATTTCTCAACGTCTAATCCGTTTGGTAAGAATGATTTGGCAACAAATCATCTTAATAAGTTGGCACATTAGATTCCTTCAATAATTTCCGTTAATTATGAATTAATGATATCTTTTTTTTGCTATAAATTCGAGCATAAATACAATTAATAAATTTAAACTCAAACTAATAATGAAAATTATGAAATCATTGCATCAAATTATAAATAAAACAACCAAACTTTAATTATAAACTAATTAGAGTCAACTCTATAAATCCTTGATATTTAATATATGCTCTGATAAATAAATAAATATTTGCGCTGTCCTGAAAGTGCTTTCCACTTCATACTCATTGACATTTTAAGCTAAATTTCCACTAAATGTCAACAATTTGACATTTTAAGCTATTTCATGAAGGAAAAAATTGACAAAACCTGCATTTAAGAAAAAATTCAGACAGTAATGCCTGTGCAAACATGTTACATGGTACAAACTATTACATTTTGCCTCTTCAGACTTCAGACCAACCCATCTTTGATTGAGATCTAGTTCATGGGTTATCTCTGGATTCATATTTTACATTGTGATTTGCGAATAAGATTACATCAAGAATTCTATTCCTCAAGAGTCAAGCCCATAGTCCTCGCCGAAGTATCTATCGACTAAACCATTCGCCATATTTCTCAGGTCTTCGTTCTCATGAAACTGAAATCTTTCCATGGCTTCTATGCCATCCTCTCGTTCAACAAGCTTCGGGCCCTCTCCATTTGGCATCCCCCTCAAAACCTGCAACAAGCATAAATTGATAATCAGCAGGACTCTTACTTGTTCAGAAATCAGATTCTCAGCAACTGAATTTTATCTGCTCATCATTAAACAATTCTTTAAACCAAATTGAATTTGGTTCATACATTTTGTAATCATTCATCATTAAATTAATTTGCTGTGTCTAGACAATGTATCCGATATATAAAAGGACCTTCAACCATTAACAAACTTTTTAAACAAATAATCCATCAAAATCAGATCAGACACTTCCCAGAAACAGCAATTGGAAATCTCTCACTTTAAGCTAACCTTGTTTTAACTATTCTGAATAGCTCAGAAACTGTTTTATGGCTCCATATTCAACAATTTCTTAGCATAGTTTTAGTCTTAAGAAATTAATCGCATCTTTGAAACTAAAACCAAATTTTCTCGTGAGATTTTATAATAAACAGGTTCAAAATATTTTTCACAATTGAATGAACTTTCTAGTCATCTAACAAAAGGGGTAACTCCATGCTACGTGTTAGTACATCAAAAGTTAAATTTATATCATAAGGAAATTCTCTAATATGTGATAATGGCAACAGGTCAACAAATTAAAGGAAACAATGAAGGAAACCATCCAACAAGAAAGTAAAAATGCAGATACCTTTTTTCATACATGTCACATATAAATTAGTAAATACATCAGTTACTTACCAGCTCCATAAATTGAAGACCTAGTCTTGCAGCCTCTGTATCAACCGATCTAACAAAGTCAATAAAACCAGGAAGACATCCCCTGCCAACAAGAGAAACTAAGTGCTCCAAGATCAGGCCTGGTTTTCCATTGCCTTCTGTTGGTGCAACACAGAGATTACCCAAAACATAAGCTACTTCCTTTCTTATATCAAATGGAGCAGTTGAAAGAAGGCGCAATAGTAATGGCACAGCCTCACTAGAATAGATCAACCGCTTGTGCTCAACTGAACCAGCAGCTATGTTAGACAACACCCATGCAGCTTCCTACATCATTGATAAAGCTCCTACTAGTAAATAAGATCAATAGAGGTTAATTTAAAAGTGCAGGATATTACCAACTCACCTTTTTCAAGACTCGGTGCTCACTCTTCAAACATTTCACTAGGACCTCAATAGTATTATCTGAAAGTTTCATAGAAGTCAAATATTATAAACGGAATATGTAATTTAAGTGTTAGAGTCTCTAATGTTAAGCAAGTAGTTTGCTAACCGGTGATTTCACGTCCAGGAAGAAGAACAGCAGAAATTGTGTGTGAATCACCTGCTATAAGATTACCTAAACTTCGTAGCACCTGGAAAGGAGATACTTGGTAAGTGGTCCAAATATTGGGAGTCATAACTCAATAGAGATCCCAAAGACATCTGATTGCATTAGCCACTTAAGCATTGTACGGCCTACAGCCTAGAGGTACCATAATAAGAAACTCATAATCATTCCATTATTTGATTTTAAAGAGTGAGGAACTAATCATTTGTTGACAATTCAAAATGGAGACACCAATGTCTTTTAACTATAAATTTGGTCAAATTCTACATAATGAAAGATGTTCTCAGAAATCATATAGTTGGATATGCTCAAGCTTTAAAGAGCATGCTTTCATTACGAACCTCCACTGAGGAAAAAAAAAAAAGAGGAAAATTATACAGTCACAGAAAAGCATTGAAGCTGTGGAACTCATAAGATAAGATTTTTAAGAGCAGACAAACCAGCACAAACTTGAGAATTAGAACCACATCAACAAATTATTTATCATTATGCTTTCCATGCAAAACTAGATTCAAAATCAACATATGAAGATTTTGGACACATATTGACTGCACTGAACAACACGCAGAATGAAATGGACCTCCTTAACTTTGTAGGAATAGAAAGAAAAATAAAGAAATAAATAACTGCATGACTCAACAAAAGCTTTTAAACACTCATAATGTAAGTTACCGGAATAAGCAATTGCAAGCTGTTCGATGTCGCTAATCTTTGTATAAGTAGTTGGAGAACATCATTTTTCACCAGCAGACTAGTAGCAACATTTGAAAGGGCTGAGAGATACACCACCACCCATGCTACTTCAGTTGCCAACTCCTCATCCCTGAATTCCATATGCATGTTCAACTATAATTTGAACTTAAGAACAAGGAAAAATGGTGCAACATTATTTTTCAACTAACAGAAACTGAGAAAAAGTAATTATCCCTCCCACACAAGTTACACTATAATAGTTCCACCTAAAGGATGAAGTACCTAAGCAACCAATTCTCCAGGGATTCTTCCCATCTAATCTCTAATTATAACCAGCAGCGCCTTGAAATGGATGTTATTACTGACCAACATAACCGAAACTGAATTGCATTAATAACATAACCAACAACCTGAAAGCATTCCATAATATAGTCTAAAAGCTAAACCAGGGGATAATAAACATATTCCAACTGTTAAGTAACTTCAATTAATCAAAGTTTTTAACAGAACTGTGATTTACAGCTAAATTTGAAATGGAAATTTGAGGAGAGATAGAAACTAAACAAAATCTCCACGAAGGTAGCCTAAAATAGTTAAGAAACCATCTGAACCAATAGGCCCAAGAAGAGCTAGCGCATATACGCAATACACTTTTTTGTGCAATGAGAAACAAGATGAAGGCCATAGAAAATGAAGTTAGAAAAAGCCTAGTCAATGAATGATGCCTTGCACTCTAGAAACCAAGTCGGATATCATGAACTACAGAAAAGGAACAATGTGGAGCCAACCAAATATCTAGAGAGACTACTTCACGCATGCTTACCATATTCTAATGGCCAATGAAACTCCCCTCAAAAGTATGTCTTTTAAGTTATGAAAAAATCTTACTTTAAATGACTCGAGGTTTTAGGGGACAGGTTTAGTCAAACTGGCAAGCCAACTCAGCCTCCACAACACTTACAATGGAGAGGAAAAACAGATAATTTGGAGAAGTCAAAGATTCTATTGGAATTATTCTCTGATGATTAGAGATACAATTACTACGGATTTGTAAGATTTCACTTACGCTTTTCTTAAGTGCCGAAAGATCGCATCCAATACTCCATCAACTCTAATGAGTTCTGTTGCAGCTTCAGGATCTGGTCCCTACATTCAAGCACACTGAGGTTATGTTGTAAATGGAATTTGGGAAGAACACCCGGGCAAACAGATGTGCATATCAATACATTCATGATTAAAGGACTGAAAATACAAAACATACATACTAAGAAACAGATATAACATCTAGTATATCATAATAGGGTTTTCAGAAAGCATTCACAAGGAGATTCTCAGGCATCAGCTGCATCACATATCCAGTGTGAGTGGCATCCTCACAAACTGTTTCAGAAATTTGTTTCAAAAATATAACCCATCTAAGGAGGTTACTGGAGGACATGGATTGAGGACGTTTCTCCTAAATTGCTGGCTAATCAGATAGCTCCCCAAGGGTTTGAAGCTCCCTTAAGGAACACATATTCTACTTCTAAAGATAGAAACTTGTATCAGACTATAAACATGGAAATAGAAATATAACTAAACCTAGTTTGGACAAAACTCAGCAAGGAAAAAGCTATCCAGAAGCCGCATAGATTTTGTAAGCTCCTGTTGGCTCCAAGTCATCAATATCTTGAGAAAATTAAATGGCAAGCATGATGTAGCATATTGAGCTTTCACATGCTTGGTAGACTACATGCAGGCCAAAAGTCATCAATACACATATACACATGCATGCACAAACTGTTCATTAGGAAAAGATTTAAAACCTTGATTAGGTTTGATAATGCCCAAGCAGCTGTCCTGATGGTTGAACCCTTGTTTGGCAGCATCATTCTGGCAAGAGGTGGTAAGGCTCCTTGGGATAGCAAAACATTTCTCAAATCTTCTCCTTCACCAGCAACATTTCCCAGTGCCCATGCGCACTGCTCAGCAACAGGCAAGGAACTCTTTTCTGGAGAGGAATCCAATTATAGAAGCAATAAACAAAGTAGCATAATAATTTAATAATCGTTGCATCAAAAATACAAGGAACAAAATATTAAACATAAAATGTGTTGCCAATAATTAAAGAAAGTTAGAAAACACCATGTTCATGAATCACAGAAGTTGAAAAAAACAATCTATACACTCTATTTCACTGTCAAAATTAGAGTGGGAATTATGGTAAAAATTAATCTTATGTTGCTTTCGAGTACAGACACATACCATTGCAAACAATATTCCTATGATAGAAGTATTGAGAAGAGAAGGAAAAACAAAAAGTAGAAGAAGATGAAGCTTCAGTTTCTTGATGCTAAAAGGAATGCATTAGCAATCACCAACCTCCAAGATGTGCAATAAGCAATGGTAATGCTGGCAGTAACGCTTTTGTTTCTTCTGGTTTTCCTGCTGCAATGTTTGTAAGGCACCATGCTGCCTCAAGCAACTGCAATTTAAGAGACATTAAAAGATAAGGTTTCTTATTCTCATTGCTTATTTTAACCAGCTACAGAATGATTTTGCCCACAGACCTTGAAAGGTCAGTATTTTATATTGGTGACACATGCATGAAGCACCATTTCAGCATAGGTTGGAAACAGAAAAGAAAGCTAACAGATGATCAGAACCTAAAGACAGGAGAGATCATGGATGCATATCCCTACCTACCAACTAAGCAAAAGTTACTACATTTCTTTCAAAAATACGTCTGAGAAAATATCTATATACAAATGAGAATAATTCATGAATTCACTGAATGACAAAATAAAACAGACAAATTACTCTGACCTGTTCATCAGGAGAGCCGAATGAAAGGCACTGCACAAGTAGCGGGATTGCTCCGGCTTTAAGTGCAGCTTCGATAGGGGGGAACTCAGATCTTGATAGCAATCGCCTTAGTTCACGAAGAGCTCCAACTTTTTTTTGTATTGCACCTTTTCCCCTAATGATTCAAGATAAAAAATAGTACAAGCAAACTTCAAATTAAACAATAAGTAAGAATCCCCATAAAAGCACCAAAAATCAACCAAGTTTGATGAAACATAATCAGTTACACAACAAGATGACAAAACTAGAATAATCTAACTATCTAAGAACATCAATAACTCGATATCATGCAGTAGTATCGTAATAAATACAAGGTAAAGAAAAAAAGATCCTAATACCATATTAATATCCAAGAAATCCTGTTCAATTTGAGTCCTCCTAACATTTTCCAGATCCTTAACATTGAATCCTTCAAACTTTTTTCTTGGGCGTCCCAACTAATATAACTTTTCTCCTACATTATGTTTCTCATAGTTCAATGAGACAGTTTTAGCATTCAATTCTGCATCAACCACTTTCCATAACATATTATTTACTGTTTCTGATGCTAATTCTTTTTATCACTAAAGAAAACATTGTAATACCATGAGGTGCAACCCAAGATAGAAAGTTGTTTATGAGAGGAGAAATAAACAAAATCTACCACAGCAAAAACTTCGCCAAAAGTCTACCAAACATTTTACCAGAAAAAGAATCATAGTCCAAATACCTATGGGAATAGATAGAGGTTCTTCCTCTTAACAAAGAAAATGCTTGTATCTTTTTCCCTTCAAACGAACCAACAAATAGCAAGACATATCAACTAAGGATATTTTTCAAAATACACACACACACACACACACAAGACTCAAACCTCCTCAAACCATGATTTTTCCTCAACCGAACCAGCTATTCAACAAAATACCAAAACTAAATACGCCATTCTCAAACCACTAAGCAAAAGCATATCGTTTACTATTTCTACATCAAATTCAGAAAGTTCTAGGAAATGGCACACTCAGTTACGCAAAAGCTAATGTTTCATCCATTGCGTGTGTAATAATGTCTAAATGACATACTGAAAAGCAATAGCAGATTTCAACTCGTCCACCGCTGTAGTAGTTTGAGCCTCCAGAATCGATTGCTCCTCATCAATAATCATGTCACTGTCAGGTGGAGTATCAATATCACCACTAGTTCCCACTCTGCAAAGGCGCTTTGCCCGCACCAACGATTCTCTCCTTTCCTTCCCCACAGCCACTGCATTCTGTCGCCTCTTTTGCGCCGCAACATTCCCAACTAGCAAACACAACGAGCATTGCATTTCACATAATAAGAAGCTAGCTATATGCAACAAACTCATACTCAAAACCAATAAAAAATTAGACACTAATCGTTTCATTTTCGGGAAAGTATGAAAGAAACTAATTCAAATTTATAGCGGCTAATAACTCAAATAGAAAACCTAAACAAGAAAAAGATGATGAAGAAGCAGCAAACCTGAAGATTTGATAGGGTCTCTTCTATGAGATGCTAACCCATCTTCCGCCATCAGTTTTGAAATTATTTATTGTCCAAGCAGAAAGTGTTAGTATCGCAGTGAGGTTTTGAATGTGAAGAAATGGGAGCAGGAAAACCCCAACACAAGAACAATTTTCTGTAAATCACGCGCCCAAATGCAAAATTTCGCCGCTTACAATCGATTGCTACTTTGACGCTTTTAAATTACGTAAATGACCCCCTGGCCTCAGTTGCATCTTTGCTTCGTTCTCCGTTAAAATAATTATTACTTGTAATTTTTTTTCCAAATTAATAATTTTATAGGATGTTTCTATTATAAAAAATTATTTAGTGAAAATAATAAATTGATACTTGAATTATAACGAAATTAATATATGACAACTCCTATTTTTAAAAGCTGACTAAGAAATCTTAATTATTTTGTTATTAAAAATAAAACAAGTTTAATAGCAGGTTAAATTTTATTTTTGAAAATTCATATATATTTGACTAGCTAATTTTAGTCATTAATTACAAAAATAATCTTTTTTTTATTTAATAGTAGTAGTATTAAATCTCTTGCTATTGCTTTTTGTTTCTAAAAAAAATTGCTATTAAAATTATTTTTTTAATTATATGAATTAAACTAGATTTTTGTTGCATTATGCCTTGCGTGTCGTCTCGACCACACGTGATTAATTCGCTCTCACTTTGCTTGAAAAACTCTCCACATGTCCTCTATTTTCTGGATCCTGTTTCCTTCGCCTCGTTGTTCTCCTTCCATTGTAACTTCCTTCGTCAACCGTTTCTCGAGAAACAAACACGAAACAGAAAATCTCAAACACCAAATCTCACTCACAGATCTATTATCGCACGCGAACTTGTCACCATGAGCCATCACCCGCCATTGAAGGCAGTGACGCTCACTCACGTCCGGTACCGAAAGGGCGATCAATTAGGCCATTTCCTGGCCTGGGTCTCTCTAGTTCCAGTCTTTATAAGCCTAGGTGGATTCGTCTGCCATTTCATTTTCCGTCGAGAGCTTCAGGGCATGTTCTTCGCTTTGGGCCTCCTCATTGCTCAATTCATTAGTGAACTAATCAAGAAATCGGTCCAACAAGCTCGTCCAGAAACCTGTATACTTCTCGAAATGTGCGATTCGCACGGCTGGCCTTCTAGCCATTCTCAATACATGTTCTTTTTCGCTACTTACTTTACTCTTTTAACTTTTAAAGGAATTGGATTGACGGAAGTTAAGCATAAATGGGCGAGATGCTTCTTACCATGGGCATTGGCGGTTTCGACTATGCATTCTAGAGTGTATTTGGGTTATCATACGGTGGCTCAGGTGTTTGCTGGAGCTACTTTAGGAATTTTTCTTGGAGCTGTGTGGTTTTGGCTAGTGAATTACAAGATCTTTTATTATTTTCCATTAATTGAGGAAAGCAAGTTCGGGAGGATGTTTTATGTGAAAGATACTTCGCATATAAAGAATGTGTTGGAGTTTGAGTATGAGAATGCTAGAAGAGCTAGGAAGGAGCACAAGGCCAATTGAATCATTGATCAACGATCATTGGTTTTCTTGGTACGTCAGGAATTTTATATTTATTTACATTTTCTTTCTTATGTTTCATTGCATTGAACTCTTGCTTGCTTAGTATATTGTAGTAAAGCTGACTTGTTATCATGATTGTTAGTTAAACTGATTATTTGATCAAAGAAATAGCCTTTTTAATTTTATGTTTCCTCATATTATGCAATATAAGTTTTAGATTAATCTTTTGCTACTCAATTTAGTAAGGTTGTGTTAAATCATGTGAAATATGCCTACAGTATTTCTATGCCAAGATTCAAAAATTTTTTTTTCTTGTATAAGTTAGATTGTCTCTTGTCTCCAATTTATTCCAATTAACCAAGGGGAAAAAATTACTCTAAGCTAGATAAAGATATTACATAAGGGGATATATGACTTTGGCATTGGGGCAGTAGGCTCAGTTAATCAGTATGTTTGTGTATAATATACATTCTTAGAAGGTATATTTTACCTATTTCAGCTGTCATCTAGTTTATAATAATAAGTTTTTGAAGCTAAGCTAATTTTAAAGGTCAATGTAACTTTCACACCCTAATGCCATTAGTAATGCAAGTTCCAAACAGAGATAATATGAGTAATGTGTGTTTTTTTTTATCACAATGAAGAACAGAGTAATGAATGCATAAATAGCAGGAACTTCACATGTAAAAACCTGACAAAGACCTTTGCTTAAAGCACAATGCAAGATACGTTTAAGTTTCCCAGCACAAGTTTTGGAATTTGGATCAAATCAAGTCATGTTCTTTTGCTAATCACATGAAAGCTGTTCTGAATTGAACTTGTTAGGACATTGTGGTCAAGTGATGAAAATGCCATATTGTTAAATGTCAACTATATGTAGGTTTCATTTTTAACTTGTATTGTACATATTCTTTCTCCAAACTGATGCTTCGGATGATGGGCTCAATTGAGCCATAAATTTATCTCATCCTGGAAATCTATCCACTAGTTTCTCTTTAATTCTACTGCAGAAGCCATGGATTTCTTGTTGAATAGTTTGCATTGCAGGATCACTCTTGGGTTCCGCCTGGTGAGCCGTAATGGAATGTAATGCAATGTAAATGCATTTGTAGAAATGCATTACATTCTATTATAACTCTCCAAACAGAGCCTTGGAGAAGTTTTAATTTTATTACCTAAGCCACACAAAACTCATTCTCCTCATTACGGAAGCCGTGGAGTTCTCCCTGGGATATGCATAAGCGTGACTAGAGTGTTTTGTATAAATTCACTATAACAAATTTGTACTTCTAACTTCATACAATATATTGTCATAATACTGATGTTTAGATTCTTAATGTCCAATAAATTGGAGTGCACTAATAGATATCTGGCTTTTGCAAGTAGTACCTATTATCCTGTGAATTATGTTATAGTCACCCTTTTATTGACTGTTTAAACCATTGAATTAAGTCCCTGGAAGAGTTATTGTGATGCCAATCGACAAAATGTGGACATGCTTCTTGCATCTATAATTATTCCGTATCAGTCTTGGAGAAAGAATGCTCTTGAATTGAATTTGAGGAGAAGTTGATGTATATAGAATGGTCCTCTTGTACCATTTAGAACAGAATCTACTTATGCTCCAGAATAATAAAGATTCAAATTGCAAACCTCCTTTATTAGAATTGAGGTTTGCTTGAGTCGAACTGAGTGGAGAACTGTTTTGATAAAATTGTCAAAATTTAATTTTTTAATTCTGATATTGAACAAATTCTTTTGGCAATCTCTGTGCTCTTATCATACAAAAATGCTTTCTTGCTCCATTTTGCAGGTTGATATCTCCAGGATTGCATTTTAGGATTCTGATTACATCCAATTTGCTTGTGGGGATGACATGATTGAGCAAGTAAGAGTCTTGTTTGTATCACTTCATTGGGAAAACCATATGGGATGCTAGCTGGAGGAAAGAGTATTAAGTTTTAGATTCTTTTGCATTTGTAATAAAGATCTGATTGTCTTATTTATAGGATCTCCACAGTCACAAAAAACAAAAAAGAAGAATTGGACAAATAAAATTTAGTAACTTAGATATTGTCTGGTATTTGTAATTTTCTTTTTCGTTTTCACTTTTTAATTACAATTGATGATACTTTACAAATACTTTTAAGGTTTGATCTTGTAATATTGTTATATTGACATTGCTTCTTATTAATTATTTAATTTTAAAATTTTTATTAAATATGGAAAGTGAATTTTATGGTTATTTAAACCATATGTAGACTATTTTAATTAATCATTCAATTTTAAATGATTAGTTAAATATGGAAATATAATTTTATTCAAATTTAAATAATCAAATATAAAAAGTCAGTTTTGACTAATTATTTAATTTTGGTTTTTTAATTAAATATGAAAAGTCAATTTGGATCAACTACACAAAATAAAAAGTGGAAAGAGAATTTTGATTAATCATTCAATTTTTAATTTTTAATCAAATATGAAAAATAATTTCGATTATATATATATATATATATATATAATTTAGTCATATTAGAAGTGAAATCCAGAATTGACCGAGGCATTGGCACTTAAGGGCAGAGTGCGTCTTCAAATCTCTCGATAAGTTACATCTAAGTCATAAACGTGCATTTATATAATATATATATATATATATATAGAAAGTGAACCAGAATTGACGAGGCTTGCCTTAGGAAGTGCGTCTTCAAATCTCACATTCGATAAGTACAAAAGTCATAAAGTGAATTTATAAAACTAAGAGATTAATTTAAAACTAAGATAATAATTAAAATATAACAAAGAACGCAGTAACAAAAATAAAGAATATCTATATCTTTAAGATTTATGATATAATAACTTACTAAAATAAAAAGATTGGTTAATATATTTCATGAACAAGGAAGCTTTTGATTTAGTAATTCTTGTAGTTTTTTTTTTTTTTAAGGTTGTATTTATATTATATTTCGATCATATAGACTTTATACAAGTAATTACTATAGTAGTATAGTTTTTTTTCAAATTAATGTTGTCATTAAATCATTTTATTTATAATTATTTCAAAATAACAAAAAATTATTAAATAGTTTTATAAAAAATTTAACTAATATTTTCTTTATATTACACATTGTAAGAATAATTTTATATTGTAATATGACATTTAAAATTAAGTTGCAGTATTAATAATTATTATCAGACAGAAATGGAATTGCTTAGCTGCTGGATTGACCAAAATTTACTTGATTTCCAAATTGGAAAATTAAAAACATGGAAACAAGCGGGAACTAAGTGAGACTCTGAGTTGTAACCAAACCAAGACAAAGATCTCTCCGCCGCCTGATTCACCCCTCCGCCTCTTCTCTTTCCCGTTACTCTTCCCTTCACTTCACTCTCCTTCTCTCTCTCTTTTCAATGTCTGCCAAACACAACCACTGACCATCTCTCTCTCATCTTCAAAAAATGTGGCAAGCTCTATTAGCCGGAGCAGTAGCAGGATCTAGTCTTCTCGTAGCCAAACACTTGCTCGGCCATGAACGTCCTAAAGAGAAAGACCAGAATACTCCTCAAGCTTCGATTGGCTCTGCATTTGGCTCTCCTGTGTTTCCAGATGAAGTTAATGAGTCCGGATATGGAAGTAATTTGGACCGGTTATCACCACAAGAGATATTTAGGTTTTCGAGTTCTGGTTCTTCGTCGAGTAAAAAGAAAATTAGGATTTTGAGGAAGAAAACGGCGATCAAGGGCCGTCGATTGAAATTTGGGGCTCAAAGTGACAAGTCTGACAAGCGATCTGGCGGTTCTGAGGGAATTGCAAGGCGAGTTGCAGTTTGTTTAAAGAAGAGGAAGACTGTCAGAAGTTTGCCTGCTAACCGTGGATCCTTTTCTTCTAAAGGTTTTCATTTCTTTTCTTTTTTTAATTCTTTGTTGTTCGGTTGTTGAGATACCGTGGGGGAAAGTTCTTTTTAAAATTTTTTTATTTCTTTTATTTTGTTTAAGTTACTGCTCTTGATTGATCGAGGCACAAAGATACTTAATTTGATGGAATTGTTATAATGGTATTTTGAATGATTGCTTCTGATAGAGTTAGGAAATTTCAGAAATTAAAACAATTCAAGGATGCTATCATTTAAATAGGAATCAGATCAAACATGTAACCAATCCCAAAGATTACTCTGAAAAACAAACAAGAACAGAACGAGCAACTATAACTCAAGAACTAAATAAAAAAACAGCTAGCAGGACCGCTGTCAGATCGATTACTTCTGCAAAATATCTTATCACACAAGAGTAAGGGTGGGATCAAGTTTGCAAGGAGCTACATTTGTATTATTGCCAAATCGGTTTTTAAACACAGAGCGATAGAGAAATTTCTGACTTCTAAGAGTAGAAAAGTTGATGAAGAATGCTGTTTATTAAAGAGCAATGGGACTGTATTTGGGCTTGATTGTCTCATTAAGACATTTATGAAAGAAGATAATATTCCAAGGTGTTTGTTTTAAGAATATAATTTTCTTAACTGTGTCGAGATTTTATAAATTTAACACAAAAATGGAAGTCATTTGATTTTAAAGCATCTCGAAGATTCATTTTTCTTGTGAACCTTATATGACTAATCAGCATTGATTCATCTGTTGATGCAAAAGGTCACTTGGTTTCTTGGAGTCCTTGAGGAAGTAGTTATTGTGTTCAAGTTTGTTCTTTGATATGTTTGATTTATCTATTAAGCTGAAATTAATATCTTATAATCTGCAGATAGCTCTTTGTTTGGCTGGGGACTTGGAATTGGAATCATGTGCATGATGTCAGCTGGGAAAACAGAGATCAGTAAACTAAGCAGTACAGTGTATGAGACTTCAAAAGTTGTCCAGGAACTAAGAGTTGAGCTCTACAAAAGAAAATCATCCCAAAGTGCTGCGAGCTCAAAAGGTTTAAGAAGTAAGAATAATCAGCTAGTGTTTTATGGATCAGGCACAGATACGAGTCCAAAAGATATCAAGTTGTCTGGGATTCCATTGATTGATGATGTTGAATGCCCGAGTAGTGTTCTTACAGAGGAGCCAGAGCCACAGCTGCTGGAAATGGATCAACTGGAAGCAGAACTTGTGTCTGAATTGCAAAAACTTCCATGGTCCAACACTGAAGGTTCTGGACATGAAGGAGCAGTGCCAAACGTGGGCAAGGTGAGACTTATCATGTATATCTGAGTTCTTTCTATAGAGCTACCTGCCACTAAAAGGTCTTCCCTTCCTGCTAGTGCATTTCTTCGCACCTATCACTCAGATTTGTGGTTGAATAATACTCCCGTTTATAGAAATTTTTATTCATCCGAGACAGAAGATTTGTTTCTACTATACTGCAGTTGTATACATTTCGCCTCGACATTTAGAGGCCATCAAAGGATCATAATAATCGTTCTTATTTCATGGAAATCAAAATATTTATTTGATGCTGGTTATCTGTGAGTCGTTGCAGATAAAAAATGCATCTTATTAATTGATTGTGCTTCCAATAGTACTTGCTAAGTTTCACAATTCCGGTCATGGAAATTTTTGCATTCATGACGAGCCTCTATTGTTGGAACCTGTGAGCGTTTTAGTAGGTGATTAACATCCAATTTAACATTCTTCTGCATTAAATTTGTTTATTTTATTATGTTGTTTTCTAAATCACTCTCAACATACTTGGAGAAGTTATTAACTTCCTTTGGTTCAAAATTTATTAATATACATCTGTATCCTGGACTAGTTCGTATTCATGAATAGCAGTTTGCAACAATAGGTGGTATGCAGTCTTCAAACCTGATTCATGTGGTAGGAACTGCATCATCAGTCTATGATTGGGCTATGAAGGATGGATTATCCCCTGATTTTGACCAGAAATTTTTTTGCAGGATGAGGTTTTGTCCGATGGGTTTCATGAGCTGGAGGGACAGAACAACATTTCTTACCAATGCAATGGAGTCTTGCCTTCTGAATTGCATCAGAAATTGAGTCATTTGCTCATTGAACAACAGGAAAACCAAATAGAGGAACTGGAAACTGAATTACATTCAGCTCAATCCAAGTTATATGAGAAGGAAGCGGAACTCCGAGCATTGAAGGACTGCGTAAGACGCCTAACTGAGATCTCTCTATCAACTGTATCAGGCAAGTTTTCTGCCTCCATAATTAAATTCTGTATAATTTTTTTTTAAAGAAAGTAACAACTCAACCATTGGGGTTTGCTTTAGCTGGTACTGATATTATTATCATACCATGTGCAAGCAATTAGCCTTCTTATACAAAATGCCACTCTCTAAACCTAAGCATTGATTCTCAGATGATGAAGCTGACGTACGAGTGGAGAAACAATGTAATACAAGTGAATGGGATAAAAATTCCAGTATGGGGTCAGATTCAGAGTCGAGGAAATCCGTGGTGGGGATGAAAAGACCTATTAACTCTGCATAATATGGTTATTTACCCGCTTTAATTTGTTATAACATTTAATGTGTAGGTATTAAGGTAGCATCTGATTCTATGACTAGATAGGTAAATTTAATAAGCAGTCATAGGATTCCATCAGATTTTAGAGTAGTGCCAATAGGTACTAGGTGGGGCACGCTAATCAACAATTATGTTAGCCCTTCTGTTCTATGCATCAACTTCACTTCCTGTATTAGTATTCTAACAATTTTGGATTTCTCTGAAGTTGTATCATCATGTTTATATTTATATTTTTTTTTCTTTTTATTATATGACAGTATTTAATATATATATGCCTATTGTCTAGGGCTGAGCTCTCTTTACTAAGAGATTGACTTACAACCTATCCTGCATCCTTGTAGTTCTAGGTCAAGCACTTATTGAGTGCCAGAAAAGAAGCCTGAAACAATAGTTGACTTATTTGTTATCTTTTTGAGAGTTTTTATTTATTACTAATTAGGTCACCTTCACATTGAAGAATTACTAGATTATACATAATGTTCCTTGTCTTTATGTGAAGGCAAGATGGGTAATTTAGGGGGATTTCATAGTGCGGTGGTGGTTGCTTCCGCAGAGACATAATGTGTATGGCTGGTGGAACCATGGTGGGGTGTGGTGATCTTATGAAGATGGAGATATGAGATGACCCCATTATATGTGTTTCTTTCTTGCACATTTCTTACTTGTGAACTTCCATTTTATGAATTATGAAGAGGGTACTACAAATCTCAAAATAATATTAATTTTACATACTTAAATAGAATAGAGTGTGGAAATACTTAATGTAAAAATTTTAAAAACAAATTATGATTGATAAAATGATTATATATCTGACTCTAACTAATTTAGGATTAGTCTGTTGCAACTCACGATGCATTATATTTATATTTCATTACCAAATCCTCAATTGAACTAAATCTTGATGGGAATATATAAATGAATGCAGGTGGAGATTTTTACAGCAGCATACAGCAGACTAATAAATTGGTAAAGAACAAGACGAAAAAAAAAGAAGATCATCATCATTATAGTTAGATTCGACATTAATTACAACCTAAGCAACCAAACTGGTTTGGAGGCTATGAAATGCTATCACATCATATCATTTGGCAAGCGATAATGAAGCAATCGTTTCTGGTACTTAATACCCCCTCTGCCTGTACTTGCATATATACTAAAAAAAAGTTTAATTTATAATTTTGCTTCAATTTTTCTTAATATATTCTTATATTAATTTTCATAAACATTAAATGATTCATATTAAATTATTCTTGAAATTAATTAAAAATTTGATTAAATGCAATTTTATTGGAAAATTAAAGATCGTTAAAATAGTAAATTTTAAATATTATTCTAATAATTTGAAACTGAGCAGTTATTTTGAGAACATACTATTTTCTTGATGGTGGGATAATCTGAATCAAGGTTCCCTATATGGTAAGATCGTTAATTTCGTTTTGGTTGCCATTTCGGTATATATATATATATATATATATATAACTTGGTTATTTAGTTTGGTTCCTAAGACAATGGTATAAGCAACTAACTATTGCTAACAGAACATTTTTCTTCATAAACTATTTGTGAAGTCTTATGCCTAAGCAAAGCTCTGGTTGAAAAGGTAGGATCAATCAATATAAATTTCTGTTGAATAATAATAATAGATCAATAAAGTTGTTTGTTGATTAGTGATTAATCACCATTTAATCATGAAGACTTGGGTGCACAATCTTCCTTCTCTCTCTCTCTCCGTCAGTTGCATGTATATATATTTCTTCTACCACCAAACTTTTTTAACCCTTAGATGCACCTGATTTTTTCAATATACCAATACTATACTGTATTCTTACATATGTATTAGAAATATTATTTATACGTATTTTAAATAATATATTAGAAATTTAATGATCAAAATTAATCAATATAAATAGTGAAATAGTGAAAGATAGGATCCAAGAGGACCCCTGTTCCAAAGATCAAATATAAAATAAAATTGTTACAATAAAAGAAAACACCAAAGAGTTGGTTGATTTAAACTTTGCATTTTATAATTAATATAATATTTAAAATTATATTTTTTTTATGGAAGAGATTCAACCTTTTAATATTAAAAAAAAATTTCAAAAAATAGAATAAAAAAATTATCTATTAATGATTAAATAATGACTAACCTTCAAGGAAGGGAAGGCCAGGCCAAATACAACCCAACAAAACCTAGAAATATAAAAATCTTATAGTCAGATTCACCCATCCGTGCAGATATAAATTAAACTTTAATAATAATAATAATAATAACAATGAAATAAAATTCAAGAAAAATAAAATAAATAAAACCAGAAGACCAACTGGGTAAGTGTGAGCACCACATCCTCTCTTCTCTTCCTTTTCACAGTTTCAAGAAAATCTTCCAATCTCCCTTCTGTCTCTCTCTCCCTCTCTCTTTATCACAATAAGTAAGAGAGCAGCTAAACTAGACACAACAAGTTTCAACATGAAGCTACCTACAAAATCCATATCTAGTCCGGGTCGGGCTGAGAAGTACCCGCCGCCATTGATGAGATTTTTGAGAAGCAATGTTGCTAGCAGAAGCAGAGGCAGGTCACGTTCAAGCCCTATGTTCGTTAGAAAGAAGAACGCCGCTATGGAAACTCAAGAACCCTCTTCTCCAAAAGTCACTTGCATGGGCCAAGTTCGAGACAAGCGTTCAAAGAAAGCAAAGACGACTCGACCCGCTGAAACCAAAAGCCGCTGTAAATGGATCCGCAACCTCCTTTCTTGTCAAAACTTGAGTGGAAAGCTCAAGCCCAAGTGTTGTAAACCTTCTTGGCGCAAATGGGTTATTTTCTTTCATTTGGGTTCTAAGAGGAAAACTAAATTTAAAGAGAATTTATCAGAGGTTGAACCGAATTTTAGTAAGAGAAGTGAACATTTGGTGCAAGAAGAAGAAGAAGATGAAGATAATAGAGAAACTAAGGTTTATGTTTCTACGGCTACTTCACCACCAAAGAATGCTCTGTTATTGACTAGAAGCAGATCTGCGCCGTATAGATCTTCTTCTTTAGCTAGTATATTTTGGGGGTCATCCTTTGAAAGTGAAGAAACAGAGCAAAAACAGAGCACAGAGCAAGAAAATACAGAAGATGACAGTCCAATATCGAAAAGAGAGTCTGTGTGTAAAGAATCCGATCAAGAATCGAGATTGGATCCAGAAATTCAGGAAAAGATTAAACTTTTCAAAGAATTTGAAGGTCCAGTTACTTCAATTAGAGAAAGAATAATGAACTTTGCAAAAATTGAAGAATTAAAAACAGAGAAAAGTGTCACTGAACGTCCTCTGATACTTACAAGGTGTAAATCAGAACCAGCAAGAACAGCAGAGAAAGTTGATCCAGAGCTGAGTTTCTGGAAGAAGAGAAGGTTGGGTTACACATGACTAAATAATTAATTACACATTTCTTTTTTTCTTTTTTGTTTATTTTCAATTTCTTTTACTTGAAACTCGAAAATATAATTACTATTCTTACTTTTAAATCTTTGTTATTTTATAATCTGGAGCTCTATGAGAGAATCTCTATGGCTCTCTCTAGCAACATTATAAAGAAAAAAAATGAATTGGCAGTGCAGAGAAAGATGAAAGTCATGAAGCAATGAAATTTATTCTTTCTTTGTTTGTTAATCTTAATATCAAATACTCTGTATTTATGTTTTTATTTTTTGGCAATTTCACGGAACTGTTGGTATTGTTTGTTACGCTTTTTTTCTTTCTTTATTATGGGCAGCATAAGGTCATGTTGGCTTTCATTAGTCTAATCACCTTTGGATGCTCTGACTAGCTTTTTTTCTTTAATTTTTTCATAGTAAGGTGAGTGAGATGACCCACTTCATTGATATTTTTCACTTTCATTTTGCATTTTTCATATATAATATATTTAATAATATAGTTGTATGCCTCGTTATTATCCTTATTTTTTGAGTTTTAAAGAATGGAAATGAAAACCTGTCATATTGGAGCAATAGAGATCTGTTAGTTATTATAATATGCAGAAAAGTCCGTCAAAAGGCTCCATAATTATGTTTTTATTATCTGATGGCTGCATATGCATACAGGGTCAGAAGGACCACTTTCTTTCACTTTCTCACAGGATAAGAAACCAGGGGCCGAAATTTTCTTTTAAACCAAACAGGTTGATCCAGTGTTACTTAGAAGGACTTGGGTCAAGATGGAAATTTCTTTTCCTTTTTTTTTATTAAAATAGACAAAAGAGATGAAGAAGCTGAGAAAGGGTTGGCCTCTCATGTTGTATAGCTTAGATTAAATGTTTACCAGTAGAAATAAAAGCAAAATCCAGTTTGGAAATTGGACATAAAACTATCATGCAGACAAAAAATCACAATGTCTAAGAAAGTTGCAATTCTGGCCCTTCTTTTAGTCTACAAGTCTTTTTCAATTGTTGGATTAATGAAATATTTAAAGGAAACATAGGTTTTTAGGGTTGGAGCCCTAATCTTATAATCTCTATACTGGGTTATTAAGCCTCTAACATTGTTGAATTGTCCTTGCCTCTCCGTTTGCTTTTGAGCATAATCGTCTTCTTTTCGAAGGTTTTGGCACGCGATTGAGCAAATAATTAATTCTTTTAAATTTCTAAATTATCAAATTGCCTTTTTATCTCAAAACCAAAAGTGACATACTAAGATAGTTATTATATCTAATATAAATAAGAATAAAAAATGAAAAAAAAATCATTTATTATTTATTAAAAAAATACTCAAAACGTTTTATTTTTTAAAAAATAATCACTTTAAAATAATTTATATTTTAGACCGGAAGAAGTATTTGGTACTATTATTGCTAACAGTAGTTTCATATATATTTTTATATATAGAAAGATGATGGGTTTGAAATTGGAAAATCTTTTTCTTGTTACTTTCTCCCCTTTTTGCTATTTATACCCAAACAAAATTACATTTCTATAACCCTTTTCTCAAAACATCCATGGATTTGCTGATTTTTCTTGCATTTAGTTCAAAGAAATTATTCTATGGCTTGGATTGGACCCATGGCTTTTAGGTCACAATGGCACAACCTTTTAAATTTTAACCTTGAAAGTGATAGTACAAGCAATGTGAAATGCCTATATAAAGACAAATACAGGGTTGAAAAGTTCTGAATAAGGCTTTTGGTGCATCAAATTAAAATATTATTAGGCTCTAAAAGCATGAAAGTAACAGAGTTCAGAGTCTTTTGTTCATAGAAAAGCAGCTCTTTTCTTGTCTGGGCTACTACTTAAGTCCAATGTCATCACACTTCAACATTCAACTCAGTGGGCCTATAAGTAAATCTTTCTTGATTTTTTTTTTTTTTTTTTTTTTTTTTTTGAAAATTTTTTCAACACGGGCAATAAGAAATTTAAATAATTCAGCATATTTTTTTTATTATTTAGAGAGAAAAATCGAATCTAAATTTATTGTAAAATCATATATATATATATATGTACAGTTACACTAAACTATTATATTATTTTATATTGATTTATCATTGAAAAAATTACTTTTATTAGTAAATAAAATCATCTATAAATATTTTATTTTTCATATATGCTTGAATACAAGAAAGTTTTAGCCCTTTGTTTCGTAATGATGAGCCACGTTCATATATATATATATATCTATATATATCCGTATTATTAAAATGAGATAAAGTCAAAATATTTCAAAAGAATAGGACTTTTGTCACAAAGTGAATTGGATTATTGCATACAAATGTGACACGTAGTAAAATCGATGTGACTTTGACCTAAAATAATTTTGACACGGAAGTGTCTAAGTAGGTTTTATTGGAAGGTGATCATATATTTTCTTATTATTTCTTAATAATTAATTATTGAATTACCCTATAAATAAAAAGATAATTACAAATCCATTATTCTTTCATAAAAACCACATCTATTAGCAATTTATACGCATTATTTCTACATATTGTCATAAAACCAAGAATTAAAATGATTTAAGACATTTTTGTATCATATTACCTAGTATCAAATCTTGATTACGGATAATTGTATGTACCACGTAACGATATCAAAATATAATTTTTGCCAATTATTTAATTATAAGGGAATAGTTGTTGACGTTGGACCCAACTTGAAGGACACCACGTGGGCATGCAATCCCACAAAGGACCATTCAAAGACCACCATAACTTAATTTGGGTACCCAACCAACCACTTATGTTTTCTTTTATTACCATATGCCATTATTCTACACACAACATATTTTCTATCATAACTTTATTAAGAAGAACTAGTTAATAAGTTTCGGTTAAGTCTTTGGTTTTGTTAGAAATGTTAAAAAAAAAAAAGTCATATATTTAAATAATTTTTAAATTAAATCTATTCGACAAAATTAACTGTTTTAATTAGTAATGTGTAGTTATTAGTTATTTGAATAACATTTTATAAAACGGTAAAAGCTAAATATTGTATGAATTAACTTTTTTTTAAAACGTTATCTTTATTTTTAAAAGCTAATTCAAACTTTATGTTACCAAACGCTATGAAAAATAATATTTAGCTTTTTGAACAGCCAAAACTGTAACAACTGTTTAAAAAGCTTTTACCAAACATAATCAGAGTGCAATTAATTAATAATAATGGTAATAAAAAGACAATCTTTAATTGTATTGCCAAGCATCTAGGTTACTCAAACATGGAGGAAAAGAGGAGGGTGGGTGGACTTAAGATTAGGGTAGGCTTATGCTAAAATATCACTTGACAAGAATTCTATTTTTCTTTTTCTATTTAAATTAGATCAATTAATTATGCATATAGAGGGGATTTGTTGCTGATTATGATGAGATGACAATTGAGTTAAGCACATAGGTTTAGTGGAAACCACTTAATTATAACTTTAATTTTGACTGATTAATTGATGATTAGCCACACAAAAAATGATTAGAGACTAACCACACTATTTTTGCATTTGGCCTCTTTATCTTTGTAAACATTTGCTCTAAAGATACCTATATCTATCAAATTATTAATTACCATAGAATTATTATAGGCCCACTAATAATAATTCTAGATTATAATAGATGATGCCCATCTCCAACTATTTACTTACTTGATGGAAGGAAACTTCAGACTTGGGTTCTATGAGTTTTAGCAATTTCACAATTGGGAAACAAAAAGAAAGAAACAGAAAAAGAAAAAGAAAGAGTAGGTGTGAGTAATGTGAAGTCCAGCGGATGCAGCTAAATGAGATATGTCCCTCAACAAGACATTACATGCAATAATATCCACACATGACTTTGTCGTCTAGACCCTCCCATTCCCATAAACAAAAAATAAAAATGGATTTTAATGCCTACATACTCACGTGTAGGAATGTAAATGAGCCGAACCGGTTTGAGAAATGTTCAAAAAAATTTAGCTCGAATCTAGTTCGAGCTTGAGCTTAAGTTTAATGATGTTCAGCTTAAAAGCTCGTCGAACCTTATCGAGCTTTTATATATACTATAATGTTTACTTTAAACTCATTTAAGTATTAAGCCTTGAGCTAGAGCTGGAGCTTAAAATTTTTTGAGTTAAACTCGAGCTTCAAATTAAACTCGAATCGGGCTAAATTCTTGAGCTCGGCTCGGCTCATATAAACTCCTACACATGCAGATGGATATTATATCAAGTTATGAAATAACAACTTTTCATTACAGAACAGAATCATAATAAGCTAAAGTGGAATTGGGTAGATGGTGTGGTTAGAGTACATAAATGTTGCAAACCAACACATCCACATCTTTACCTTGCAACTAATTGCTGTGCTGATCGTGACAATTTCATTACTTTTCCATTTGCTAAAAGCTGAAAGAAAATGCCTTACTTCACCTTCCTTCTTCTTTTCCTGATTATCTCCTTTCTTTAATTATCTATCTATCTTCTCCTTCTTCTTCTTCTTCTTTATATATCTATGCATAAATGACCTAATAGCTAGCTAGCTAGCTTGTGGGTTTTATATATTCCATGGAGTTCAAGTATAGCATCACCTCCTTCTTTCTCTTATTTCTCCTGCTTGCCCTACCTTACATTTCAAGAGGTTTATATATATGTTTTTTCTTTTCTTTCTAATTTGTTAAGCTCCATTTGGAATTCTAACCTGTTCTTGAAATGCCGACATGTTTTTATTATGCTTGATTTTGTTAATTATGATTATAAATATCAGAATGCAAGATTAATTATCTATTTGTATTTTTCAGGTGCAGGAAGAATGAGACTTGCAGATTCAGAAATTTATGAAATAGATTATAGAGGACCAGAGACTCACTCATCGGTTATGCCTCCTCCTGGTCGTTCTCATGGCTGGCCTTTCATCAATGGAGCTAAATCATCATCATCATCATCAAGAGGTGGAGAAGGCAATGGAGATAATGTAAGACTTTTATATTATTATATATGAATTTATTCATATAATTTCTCCTTTGATGTGATTGATTATTCCTTTTGTGTTTTTTTGCAGGATAAGAAAATCCATGGATGAATCAAATTCTGGGAAGGGATTGGAATCAAGCATTAGTTTTGTCACAATTGATTAAGTTAATTCATATATATGAAGATTGGGAAATCAATAGGGTTTGTAATCTATTTGTAAATTGATTTGTATTTGTATTTGTATTTGTAGTTTGCTTCTGTAATTGTAAACATAATACCCATATGGTTTGTGAATATTCATATTTATTTTATAGATTTCTTTTATGATTTACTTAATTAGTAAAGAGAAAAATAAAATAAGAAAAAGAGCACATTGTATCTACATGTGGTACATGTTCTTCAAAGAAAATTATTTTTCATTTCTCTTCCTCCAAATATGAAGGAAGACATCAAGTTATGAAGACAACTTTCATATATTAAATTCCAATTAATCTAGGATCAAGGCTTTATTGTTATTGTCTCTCTATGCTTATTTGATTAACCTTATCTATTTATCTAATTTTAATATTATTTTTTTAATTATTTAATCTCGAATTAAATTTGAAAACTCATAATTTCTAAAATTCTTCTGTAGAAACTACGCAATATATTAATGGATTTCTTTTCGTTCATTAATCTTGATTTCAGTGCCATTAAACTGAAACTGATAAGTAAAAAAAAAATTGTAGCTATCCCAAAATAAAAATATTCCACGTGATCAACCGTTTATGGGCTGGGTTTGAAAGTGGACTGGGCTCAAACTGGGCTCTTCTTTAAAAATAAGGCTTGATGTCGAGAATTGGACAAGCTTCACGTGAATGAGTTTTGATTGCTGAAGCTTACGGATCTCGACTATAAACCAAATTAACGAGAATAAAATTTTTTATATAAACGGAAGTATTATATATTAGAAAAATAAAAAAAAAAAGCAACACCGTTCTAAAAGATTATGATGCTGATAAAAATTTGAAAATAGTGATTGATCATTCTAGAAAAAAAAAAAAATTAATGATTGATAATTTAATATTTCAATTTTCTTTTTATAGATTGCACGTAATATTAACAAACAAATAGTAGTGCTTAGCACACCCGATCTTTCCCTAAGCACCGTAGCTAAAGAATGTACGGTGTACACTACACGCGGTGTATTTGTACCTGAATGACAATTCATTGACTCTTGACCTCTTCTATTTTCTATATTTTATTTTTCATTTAAATTTCATAGTAGATCCCATTTTCCTCCATTTTCGTTCTCTCCCATCTCCGAGTTTTTGATTATTCGATTTCTCTCTTTCTCTCGGGAGGAAAGAATGGCTAACGACAATAACGCCAACCTCAACAACACCAGCGATCGCGAGGAATCGAGTCCCCTGTTGAACAAGAGCCACCAAGAAAATGACAAGAAACCGACTAAACTTACCGACACCAAAGTTGCTGCATCACCGGCAGAGAAATCCGCCGCGCCGGAATTGGGTCAGCCTGAATATGGATGGACCGCTAATGGGTTACCTTTGGGTCACGGTAGCGTTGTAGGTGAGCCCATGGGTCGGGCTCAGTGGGATTCAAGCCTCTTCGCTTGTCTTGGTCGCAACGATGAGTTCTGTAGCAGCGATCTCGAAGTCTGTAAGTCTTTAATTTGTTTAATTTGGGTTTAGCTTTGACATGGTGAATTTGTTGTTATTGTATGATTGCCCAAGAATAATTTTTGCTGGATAGTTTTTTACTCTATATTTATTAAATGCATTTACAAGATTGAGTTAATTGACTGATTAAATTATTGGAAAGCAATGAATTTCTTGTAATTGGAACAGGGTTTTTGGATTTTATATTGTGATGTTATTTATGGAAAGGCAAGAGAATGATAATAGGAATTATGTCATTCGATAATGTCCGTAAAAGTCGAGAATTATATAATTCTGGCATATTTTATTAACTATAGGAAATCAGTGGATGATTATTTAATATTCTAGATTGCCTTATTATCCACATTTCTTAGGAGGAGAGATTCACATTAATCATTGTTCAACAATCGAGATCATATTTGATGGATAAGAGACCATTATGTAGTTTTGAAAACTGAATTCCAATTAAGCATCATACTCGTCCTTTGCCTTGTGATTGCAAATGAATGATTTGATGGTATGTTCGTGCTAGATGTGATTGTTAGAGAACAAGTTACTTGATGAGCTTATTGAAGGAAGAGAAGTCATAGGTAGACATGTTCGGTAGATCTCCAGATCGTTTTTATAATTGATTCGTAGCTACTGGATACAGCTTATCACTTGTGGGGCCATGATTTTGACGTCTTCTCATTATATTCACCCTTTGCCATGAATTTGCAATGACCTAATTTGATGGTGTTTATGGGATGGAAATCAATGTCAGAGCACTAGTTGCATGATGGGCCTATTGAAGGAGGATTGGGAGTTAAATGTATTGGTTAGCCTTAACATTCATCCTTCTAGGTCATCTCATTGTGTTTGTAATTGGTTTGTTTCAATAATTACTGCTTAGGTTTGTAGGCAAAATTCTCAATTATGTTCATATTCATTGATGTCTATTGTGCTAGGTCTTCTTGGAAGTGTTGCCCCTTGTGTGCTGTATGGAAGCAATGCAGAGAGACTTGGATCTAGTCCCGGAACCTTCGCCAATCACTGCTTGCCCTACACTGGTCTATACTTGATTGGTAATTCATTCTTTGGTTGGAACTGCCTTGCACCATGGTTCTCATATCCTAGCCGTATGGCTATTCGTCGGAGGTTTAACCTGGAGGCAAGTTATTTAACAATTTTGCTCCATCTTTCTCTAATCCTTAGTTGTTTGTTTGTAACATGTAGTTCTTCTTTGCATATTCATTTTTGATGCATTAGTTCTGTGATTCTGGTTCATTCGTAGTTTGTATATATATATATATATATATATATATATATATATTATATATATATTATACTTTCTAACAGTATCTTATTGTATTTGATATATATATATATATATATATACTTCTAACAGTATCTTATTGTATTTGATAGTTCTTTTTAGTAACTTTGGAGAGCTGGGCCAGAAAATTTGTGATCTAACCCTATGAATCACTATTACTCTTTTGATTCTATTCCTTGGTGTGTTGTGAGTTTGCAGGTTCCTTATAATCCTTGATCATTCTATTGTTCTTTTATCATTTGGTTATTGTTTTCTGTGAAGTTAGCATGCTTTATCTTTAACCTGATTAGTGGAGTCCTTGTTCAGTTACTTTTATACATAGGTGGCCATGGCATCCAGAACCGGGACTTTTTTAAGGGGGATGGGGGCTTGGGGGTGGTAGTTTCAGTTATAAATATATCATCAGTTTTACCCATTTACAGTTTGAAGGAAAGTAGGATTCAAGAGAGCCCTTTGAGCATTGATTTACATGGGTTTTGATGTGAAACAGGGAAGCTGTGAGGCACTTAATAGGTCATGCAGTTGCTGCGGAAGCTGTGTGGAAGATGAGCTACAACGCGAGCATTGCGAGTCAGCTTGTGATTTTGCAACCCATGTGTTCTGCCACCCATGTGCACTTTGCCAGGAAGGCCGTGAGATCCGCCGCAGGGTGCCTCATCCTGGGTTCAATGCTCAACCGGTCTTGGTTATGATGCCCCCTGGGGAGCAGGGCATGGCCCGTGAGGCCTGAAGGCAGTCTACATTGCCATGAAATGACTTATATTTCCTGTTTATATACATATAAATATCTGTTGAAGTTGTTTCTATTACATAAATTGCAGCTGAAGAACCTATTTCTTGGTTTTGCCAACACAATGACGATGAATATGTAGCAGACATTGTGTTCTCTTTTTTTTTTACAATATATATGTTGTCTTGGTTTGATTTTGATGTATTTTATTTATTTATTCGTGGAAATGAATCATTCCTTTTTTAACCCCAAAGGTGATGAGCTGTTGTGAGTGACGTGTGCAAAAAAAGCCTGTCTAGAAATGTTGAATAGCAAATACATTGTATTAGAATGTCTTCACATTTCTATCACCGGCCACCATTAAACTAGAACTAGAGAAAGATTGATTGCCAACTTATAGCCTCACTAGGCTTGCTGCCTCCAGCATTTCTATTACCATTTAATAGGGTATTACAAACAAGAAAGTCATAATTGCATTTGAAGAAAAACAATAGCAAGCCAGCCATGCATACGCCACGATAGCAGCAATTCTGCTTTGGTGAGACCTAGAATAAGCAATGGCCAATAGCCATGTACTATCTATCTGTCACTTGCGGGATTCTGTACTGATAAATGATTATTATGTCCGAAAAGATTGCAATAAGAGTAATGCAACGCCAAGGAGAAATTGCTCAGAACAATCTACGTTTTTAAAGATAAACATTCCACCCAAATAATAGGACTGACCGAGTTAAAATTTCTAAAAAGTAGGAAAATCTAAAAAAGAAAATAAAAAAAAAACTCTCTTGACACGAAAGACAAGGAAAATTTCGAACACGAGTTCAACACTGTAATTGAATAGGAAACCGACCCCCAAATTTACTCTCCTGGTGCAGAGACGCCTTGCTTCAATCTTTCCCTCTTCATCTTCTTCTTAGAGATTGGCTTCTTCTTTTTGGGAGGTAGGGTCTTCTGTGCATACACATAGAGAACATAATTTCCAATGAGGAATGCTAGAACTAGCCCCCCAACAACCAGCAACACGATCAGTCCAGGATTGAATCCTTTAGCCTCAACATCATTGACCACATTCCCCTGTCGATAGTGAAAATTAAATTATATTACATGACACAACAAAAACAATAAATCAAGAAATACAACATTCCATACACCATTCAGTTAGAGGGATCAACTCATACATCAAAATTGCTTTTGTTTCCAAGGAGTGAACTCTTTTATTTGAATGGCTGACACTGCTGCTTTCTCTAGTAATTTGTATTTTTGAAAGATCTTTTCAATGCAATTCAGATTAATGTTAATTCTATTGAAAAATATAAAGAAATCTTACATAGTGAAGACCAGAAATTGATGGGAAGTTGACGCCTTTCAACATATTGGTAATACTTTTCTTCTAGGATCTTTTTCTTCATACAACAAGAATCCCTAATAACCTTTTCCATGTTTACATATGATATATTCTCAATATGCATGGCAGTTCCATTGCTCCCTATATCAAGAACATCTCGAGTATTTCTTTAAAATAAAGCATAATGGTGTGTCTTGTAAAAAATATGTACAAAAACTTTGCAGGTATTCAGAATTCCAGACTGAAAAAAATCAACAGCACATCCTATTAACAATTAGAAGTTAACTGCCAATCAAATAAACAGATTGTAGCATCAAAAATGGACCAAAATACCTGTTATTACATGTATTGAGAGGGTAAAAATTGTTGTAAATAAATGTTGGGCAAGCTAAGACAAAATAAAGAGTGCAAAAATAATGTCTTTTCCCTATTTGTCAAAATGAACACGCAAGGAATGCGGTAAAACCCAATCATGAATAATCATGATTATTCAAACCATCAAACCATTTGGACATAATTGGTGATATTTTGTTGATATTTTGTTGCCAATCAAGCCTAAAACCCATTCAAACCATCTCATCTGTTGTATTCAAACAAAATATCACCACTCTAAAAAAATAACCTTTACTTCATGACACGATTGGCAACAAAAAAATCAACAATTATGTCCAAACTGATGTGTGAGATAAATAGTATAAATTCACATGAATAAGCAGAGCTAAATCAGCAAAATTTAGCGAAACTTTCTACTTTAGAAGTTCTATATCTTTCGATCTGACGAATTTGATTTATGATAAAATATAACTCTCACATCGAATGTTAATCTTCCTGGTACTTTTCCGTAGCCAATAACAAACAAGGACCGAGCAAATATAAAAGAACAAAGATAAAAGAGAAAATCCCCAATATGTCAACATTACTCAAAAAATACTAAAAAAATTGTCAAATTTTCATAATCAGAAAACATAGATCGCATTAAGAATCAATCGGTAGAGAAAATGAAAGCGAGATCTTCAGAACTAAAATCCACTTCTATGATCTATAAATGCAGATCTCATACGTAGCTAATTCAATTCGATAGAGAAATTATAAAAATCAGTGAAGTGTACCATGCGCTGCTGGAACGACGGTGGAGAGTGATCAGCGAACTCGAAATCGTCGTCCATGGATTCCGGCGATCAGCTACGGCGACAGGATCTCGCTGTGTAAAATTGTACAAGAGAAGATTCTAGAGACAGCGATAAATGAGAGACAGATCCAAATTCTAACGCCTACAATGTGCTAAAACTGGGATATTGTAGCGGGTTGCAAGGACATTTTATTTTGGCCCTTCATCTTCTATATATTTATTTGTTTTCCCCGATTTATATTCCTTTTAATTCAATCAAGTACCATTCTAAGCCCAATACAGCCCATGGGTAATGATTTTGTAAGACAAAAAGGCTCAACTCAAATCATTCAAATGGACCTTTATTTCTGGCCCATGAAAAAACTTAGTGGGCTTTAAAGGTCTAAAACTAAGATGTGGGACTAGGAGGAGGCAAAATGGGCTGGACTCCACAAGATAATTTCTTGATATGTAGTTAAGACAGTTTCTGCAATAATAATTTTATATGAAAAAAAAAAATAATTTGATAAGTATTTAATTGATTTAATTTTATAAATTAAAATATTTAATGAGTGTAATTTTATAAATTTATGTGTTTAATTAATTAAACAAAAATTTATGTATGGAGCCCGATGTAATATTATTGGATAATATCATTTCACATCAATCAACGAGGATAATGTCATATATCCATACATAGCATCATTAAAATGATGGAAATTGTCGGACCCACATTAAAAAAACAGATAATACAAATTAGAAAAGGGTTATTGTTGGGCTTTTGATTGTCATTATCTAATAGTTATTGAAGGTGCTCAATCCATTCTACAAATAGAGATTTCTTCATATTTGTTGGAGATTGTCATTATCTTTGGGTTTTTGTTTTTTATTATCAGCAAATAAATTAGCATTTTATTAATAAATTAGTATTATCTTAATCCATGCTTCGGAATTTAAAAATAATATTTTATTTTTAATTTATTTCAATAATATTTTTTTTGAGAAGGGGGTTTCAATAATATTTAGTGTTATTTGTATTGTAATTTTAATACGTAGTCGCAATAATTTTTGAATTATTATTATTATTATTTATTTATTTATTATTTATTTTTAGTGGTGGATCATCAAGGGAAGGCCTTGATATCTATATATGCTAATATATATTATGTTGGTTCCTTATAATTAAAGAAAAATAGTTGATATTAATATCAGAAACTATCGATGTGGTGAAACCTAGACAAACGTATGGATGCTTGACAGAGAATGAATTCATCTAATTGAGTTGTTTGAAAGAATCTATTCAAAATATTTATTTATGTGTCTATAAAAATCACTCATGTCATCTTTCGATTTGAAATTATTCTAATATCTTATACATAGATAATTATATTTTTAAATTATTCTTTATTGTTCTAATGAATAAAAAAATTTTAAAACAAGGGTTTCAAACATGTATATATGGTATGATAGTTTCCTTTGTTGTTAAAATAAATAAATAAATAAATAAAATTTCAATTTTTTTTTAACATTTCATGGTATACGTTAATTGGATTTAATGAAATTTATTTTTTCATTTATATATATGTTTCGTTTATACGAGATGTTGTAACTTGTAATTTTCTAAGCAGACAAGATTCTCATTTAAACATGATTACGAATCTTAACATGGTCGGTAACAAGCACAGTTTACACAAACTTTTTTTTTTTTTTTTTAATCTTTCTAAATCTAAATGACAAAATTTGAGAATTAATTAATTCTCTTAATTCTTAAATTAATTAATTTCTTAAATTAATTCTTAAATTTGAGAATTAATTAATTCTCCCCGCCCTTTTCTAATTTTATTAGATTTTTCATATTTTCTGCTGTTTTTCTGGATTTAGATGCATAGAGACAAAAAAACCAGTCTTTGAAATCTGAAAGGAATATATATATATATATATAGCAATTATTAATATTTAATAGCTATAGTAAAATATTTATTATCTCCATTGATGTTATTTCTGACATGGTGCGTTGGACGTGGACCATATTTGTATATAAATAACATGGAGATTATATTTTTTTTGCCGACTTCTTTCTTCAACTGAAAATCAACATCTTCCTTATAGGAAAAGACCCAAAATGATACTGTATACAACAACAGACCATGCACATGGATATGTTCAATGATCCCATTTTAGATTGGTTTATTCATAATTATTTTATTCAAGGAATATTTATTAAACGTTTAGCTTTGGAGTTTGGACAATTAGATATCCTAATACTTATTTTACGAGACTAATCTCATTTCTAAGTTTATAGAGATCGCCTTGAGAAAGATTTATCTACGTTTGGTGCATGTAATCATATCCTGAAAAAAAAAAATTTTTTTTCGTATTCATAAATCAGACTAATTTTCGCTCGACTTTAGAGATAAAAGGACCGGATCAAACTCATGATTTAACTATGGACATCAACCCTGCAAGTGTTCATTTTTACCGAGTTACCTGTTTGGGTCGTATATTTTACAGCCTGAACTACTATATTCAGGTACTTCTTACTACGTCCGTTAGCTACATGGGAAAGGAATCTCTTTCATTTCCTATTAGCCGTTAGAGATGTGTCAACAATTGCAGGCAGAGGGCCATACAAGTAAATAATTGGCAGCCAATTATACTCTACAATGCGAATTTAATAGTAATATAAAATAATAGAATCCAATTTAATTTATTATAATTCTCTATATTAATTTAATTTAATTATTATATTCTAAAAAAAGATTTTGGGATGATTGGGTGCAAGAAATTATAATATTTTCCAAGTTGCTTTAGGCTTTTGTCATACAAAAGGCCATAAAGATTATTGAATTGCTATTTATAAATACATTGTGATTGTAACTTTAAACCCTTTACTAGGCAAAGGATTGATACCTTATGGTACCCTGCAAGAAAGAATACTCTTTTACATGAGCAAAAGATAAAATTTTTCTCCTTGGAAAAGCTAAAATTTTCTCCTTTGGAAAAGCTAAATTTTTCTCCTTTGGAAAAGCCAACTTCAAAAACTTAATAAAGTCTCATAAAAGGCCAATTCTTATTAGAAATGGATTAGGTTGATTCCTTCTAATCTGATCATAAATATCCCTACCATATTCTTCTTTTGTACCCTTTTCCATTTGTCTTTAACACAGTAGAATAATTAGTCTCTAAAAGCCATAATCTCATGTGCATAACCTCATAAATTTGCTAAAAGATAGTACCTTTTTTCATAAAAAAAAGGAGGAGAGAACTCTTAAATGCCAATAATGAATTTAAAAAAATGAGCTGCTTAACTATACTTTACCAAGCCTCTACTCAAACTCAATGTGTGCTTTTCACCAAGGGCTTGCTGGGTGTGAAAGCAACCACCCACCATTCAGAAAAAGAAAACCATCTAAAATGAAAGCAAGAAAATGACTCCCATCCAATTTCCTTGTCCCACCCCAACTTCCAATCTCCACTAATTGTATTGAAAAACACTATACATGCACAAATCTAGCACAAAAAAATTCTCACTAAGACCCTTTTAGATTATATTAATGAATAATGTTATTTTTCTGTCATAAATACAAAAACAATATATATATTTATATATAAAGATAATTATGAGTCAACAAACAAATGGGTTGTGGAACCTCATCTCAGCCATCCATTTTTTGATCAAACAATTTCATCACCAATGAAGTCATTTTCTGATGAAGAAGTTGAGATAGTGATCATCCCATTAAAATCTGACACACTATCTTGCAAACTCAAAAGAAGATGAGAAGTGCTAAAACTCATAGTTGGTTTTGCTCTTGGAACAATAGGAACCTCAGCTTCACCAACTAGCATTTGGACCACATTTCTCATTGTAGGTCTAGCCAATGGGTCAGGATGAGAACAAGCTAACCCAACCAACAAAATCCTTCTCATCTCATTCTCATCAAACTCACCTTCAAGTCTTGAATCAGCAGCCATTAACAATCTTCCTTCTCTATGTAAACTCCAAACCCATTCTACTAAATTGCTATTAACCCCAACTTTACTAGCCCCGCTTGTTTCTTTCTCAATTGGTCTTCTCCCACTAGCCACTTCAAGAACCACAGCTCCATAACTAAAAACATCAGTTTTTTCGGAGGCTCTTCCTGTTAATAAATATTCAGGAGCTAAATATCCCATTGTACCAGCAGCTACTGTTGCATCAGGTGATTTATCATGTTCAACTTGTCTAGCCAACCCAAAATCTCCTAATCTTGCATTAAACCCTTCATCTAACATAATATTACTTGTCTTTATATCTCTATGAATAACCTGGTTTTCGCATTCTTGATGCAAGTAAGCTAAAGCAGAAGCAACACCAAGCAAAATTTTTCGCCTGTAAGGCCATGGCAAAGGCGTTCTTGCTTCAAACAATGCTTTATCAAGACTTCCATTAGGCATTAAATCATAAACCAATAAAATTTCACCTTTCTCATGACACCAACCTTGAAGCCGGACCAAATTTCGATGCCTAAGAGTGCCAATTATTGATAATTCAGATAAAAACTCATCCTTTCCTTGACTACTATGACTACATCTCTTTACTGCAACAATGTCACCATTTTCTGGTAATATACCTTTATACACAGTCCCAAATGCACCATGGCCTATAATTCTATTAGCATTGAAGCATCTAGTAGCTGTTCTAAGCTCTTTGTAGCTAAATTCTTTTGGCATTTTGATAACCTCTGATGCAAAAGACTCTGTTTTTTTGACATGTTTGTACTTTTTAGAGAATACCCAGATAAGAACACCAGCAAAAATGGCTAAAAATGCACTAGCAGTAACTACCCCTGCAACAGCCCCTGGACCTCGCTTACAGAGCTGGTCATGACAAGAAGAAGACTTACTGTTCTTTTCTTGACTAGTTATTGAATCAGAACCAGTAGGAGCCAATGTCGGTGGCGGTGACTTAACAGAGTTAGCCGTTGGGTTCATCAAACTAGTCGTTGGTGGCGGCGGATAAGAAGAAGACCCAGTTGAGTCAAATAAAGAACTAAAGCTCCACCATTCAATGCTATGAGTTTCTGTGCTTCCTTGAGTCGACCCGGAAAACCCAACATACATAAAATCACTAACGTACTGATCTAGATCAAGAATTAAAGATAGAATTGGCTCTTTGGGTTTAAGATTCGAGTATGAAACGAAGACGTTTAGGCCGTGATTTGACCCGTTGTAATCGATCCAAGCATTAACGAGATCGCCGCTTTTAAGATCGATATTTATAGCTCCCAAATCGCCAACCTGCGTAGAAACCATGCTATTTAGATCCAAACCCACATGATTTCCATTAATGTCTTTGTACTCAACGTCCATAAGAGTATCAAACTCGACCGCCACGAAACCCGACCCGGACCCATCAGCGTTGAGTAGCCCCAGACACCCTCCGGCAGCACCAATAGTCTCCGAGTCCGGCGAGATGACAAATGCAAGCCCGCCGCCAATCGACGATGGGTTTAAATTGTTGACAGAAAAGGAGAAAAAAGTGGCGAAACTCGTAATAGAGTGAGACGCCGGTTGCCGGAATCTAATTGGCTTAGAATAAAGCACTTTGCCGGCGCCGGAGATAGGGACAGCGACGTCACGAGTGAGGCGGACACTTCCATTGTTTAAATGGGCGTCGCCGAGAAGCTTTAGGCTGCTTAGAGTTAAAGTACCAAAGTCGAATTCAGTTGTTGCAGAGGTTATAACAAAGAAACAGAGTAATAACAAAGCAAAAGATATAATGCTTGAAATTCTGTAAAAGATAGACAACATTATTGGCTTGGATAGCTAGCGAATGGCCATTAAAGAATTTTTATTATGTCGTTTACTGAAAGAATAATAGAGATGAAGAGGAGATGGAGAGTTCACGGTTTGTGAGAGATGGAGAAGAGAAGGGGAAGGATTTGTATTCTTTGGCTTATAAACAGAAAGAACCAAAGGGAAGAAACGTACTTCCATGCTATACAGAGCAGGGAATCCGAAGAAGAGTGAAGTAGACAGGTGGATGAAGGGCGTGACACGTGGCCATTCTAACGGTTATTTCTTCTGGGTAGAAAAAAGAACGTTTTTCTTTTTTCTTTTTTTTCCTCCTTTTGTCCTATCTTCTTCTTTCTTTCTTCAATCTGCTTACATTTTTCTAACTCGCCGCAACAAGCGATTGTACGACACCCCCCTGATTACTATGATGCCGTTTTGAACTTTTATAAATACAATGGAAGTTTAATATTTAAAATTAGGAAATAAAAATAATATAATTACTACATTTAAAGTTAATCTGGATATATGTCAACATATAAAACTTGGATAATCTCTTACACAGAGCCTTTTATCCATTTTACTAACAATGTTTTTGAATAAATTTACTTAAATCGCTATGCTTACCGTGCAAATCTATAATATATTTATTTTTATAAATTTATACTCACTGTTATTAATCAAATTCAATACGAGTTTAAATAACTATCATTAATCAAATTCAGCATGAATTTAAATAATAAGAAAGAATTTTTAAAACGAATTTAAAACATGTTCGATTCTTAATCTCATTAATCAGATTGAAATATAAATAATACATTTTAAAAGATACGGTACTATCCCGCTTCTATATTACTGATGCTTTGGCAGTTCATGACCGGTTATATTACATTTAGGAATTTCAAATGTGAAAAAAAGAAGTTGAAGGCTCAAGATAATTACACTGATGCTTTGCATTTTGCCATTGATTAGCTAGACCGGCCAACCGAGAGGACAAGTTAAAAAGCACAACAAAAGGGATGAAAAAGAAAACTCTAGCTGCCCTATAGGGATTGAACTATTTATATTCAACTATGTTTGTCGTATTAGTCAGGATTGAACTACACATTGAGCATTACAATCAAAAACTTATGTATGCATAAAAAAATGAAGTGTCAAATTATGAAAACATTATCTTTAGTGATGTAGTGATGTTTGTCCAATTGCATCTAATTAATTAAACTTTACAACCCCCTCTAAACATCAATTAATGTTACTTACAAGTATAGTCTTAATCATAACCTAATCCCTCTTTTTCTCTTTTTTTTTTTATTACTAATTTCTAATTATTCTTTTCGAAATGTACTGATCTAATTAATTTAAATTTGGACCGGATAAGTTTATAAAGAGAGAAACATATTCTGTCCCTAGTGTTTAAAAAGATTTCATATATAAGAAATTTGAGACTTATAGTTAAGGAAAAATAGTTGTCGTTAATCCAGCCAAAATATAATTTGGGTATAATGAGGAGGTGAAATTAAAATAAATTTTTAATTTTTTTTATCGAAAGATAAGACCCTTTGGATCCAACGTACATCCAACCTTAGAGAATGAATTTCTAACATCCCATTTCAATCCCGGAGAGTATAACCTAATCTATTATAATAATCAAGAGGAATCTTCATTCACCAAAATGTTAGATTTAATTAGATGCCTAAGATATGTGCTTCAGAATATTTAATATATGGTCATAAGAAAAGCCAAGAGGAAATAATACTTTTAATTAACCAAACTATGGGCAAAGACCCAATACCCTACTTTACCCACAAACCACCCTACCTATTATTCACAGGAGAGTGTTCACACTTGCTTCAATAGAGAGTGACCATTTTCTTCTACCTTTTCATTAACAATTCAGAAATTGAAGATAAGGAAGGAGTTAAACTTGTCTACTTTAGTTAGAAATTAATAAGGTTGGTTGCATGTGATTTTTTCTCAAAAGTCAAAGCAAATACGTAGATGTATGTACAAGGTTGAGCCAATTTGGTTACAATCCACTATCATTGATCAACCATCTCAAAAATAATCGAAGAAATACATTAACTATATGAAATTTATATCAACAATAACAATTTATTCAATTATCGAGTTCAGTTCTTAATAAAATGGCCCGAGTCTAATGCTCAGACATGAACATTTATAGCATATTCAGTTGTTAGTGAAATGGATTAAGTCTAATATCCAGATATGAACATCTGTAGCATACAATACACCCTTCACTCCCAAACATCATCATCTAAAGCATGTTAATGTTAATAAATAAACCGAATCTAACTTATTTTTCAAAAGCTAATTCAAGGAGATGAGGAATATCCGATCTAGTCTGTATCGGAGTCTAATTCTACCAAAGATGGCAAAGGAAATTGCATACCACAATTACTATTAGCAAGTGGAGGTCAGTGCCTAGCCCACGCACAGGATCACAGAATTTTTGGCTGTGGGTACGAGAGATTTCCAACTAATGAGTTTGATTTTTTGTGTATGATTGCTTCGTAGACTAAAACCTTCTCTTTCTCTTCTTCCACTGATTAGTATAAAAGAAAATGCATGTGGTGGGTCAGAGCTTCACATTAGAGCCCACCGTTAGGTATGGACATGCATGAAACAGTCAATCATTTATATTTGTTATGTAAGACTCATGCTTTGATAAGAGAAGGGCAGATAAGAAAAGTAACTATGTTTGCCTTTGAGTGCATATTAATGTAGGTGACAAGTGTCTCTTTTAAGCAAGAATTATTTATTTGCATTCATTTTTAACATTTTAGATTTAGCTGGACGATCCAAGTGCACTATGGAGGAACTACCAGTTTAACAAGAGTGAGCAAAAGCTCAGTTTGATTGAAATCGAACAGAACTAAAGAGGGAAAAAAAAAATCATACAAAACCATATCAGTTTGATTCAATTTATCATATCAGTTCAATTTTAAGTCTAATCGATATTTTTTTTATTAAACCGCGCCCAAAATAATAGAAATTTCATCTAAACCATTTAAACTGATAACCGAACTTCTTTGTGAGCAATCTAATTACACTAAACTAAATATGGTTTTGAATTGGTTTGACCGGTGATTTTGCACACTCTTAAAAAGAAGGATAAAACCCAAAATCTTTTGATTATGAGGGCCTTAAACTTGTCGTTACAGAAACTTTTATTTATAAGATCAGGATTTGAAACTTTTATTTATAAGATTAGGATTTGAAATATTAGGGGTCTCTTTTATTCACCAAAATAGTGAAAACTCGTGGTTGATAGATCTCGAATTTGAGACTTTTCACCCTTCACATAAGTGAGAAGATCAATCAGACTACACATGATTTACATTGATATATGGTTTATTTGCCTGAAAGCAACGAAATCCTGTTTTATTTACTTTTAATAAAAAAAAGAAAAAAATTTTGTAGGTGAGAATTCCATTATTACTTGCATTGAAAGTTCACGACAAGCACAACAGTGGCAGGTCGATAATTAATACTCTTCCCATATTGATTCCATTACTGGCCTTTGCTTAAGGAGATCAACCAATTCTGTATTTGTATATGGTAAACAATACCCTTTTAATGTTTTTTTATACAAATTAAGGGCATGATTGCGTAAATTCTCAATATTGCAATATCATTGTGGTTGCTTCCACACTTTGCTATAAGTGTTCCACTTAGTGATAAAATGACAAAAGTTAGAGTTCCAAGTCCCAACAACCCTACTCTCGATTCCTAAATTCCATTTTTAATATTATTAATTTTGCTAAAAAGTCAATTAAATCATTGATTTTATTCACCAATTTGAAATAATGGTTAATGACTATTTATTATAATGTAAGAGCTACTAGTTTTATACTTCTGGATAAACCTCGATCAAATTTAGGCAAGTCTAATTTATAAAAACAGCAAGATAGTAATCTAATTATTGATTTCTTATATAAAGCAATGCAAAGCAAATGGAATTTGAATTCTTGTACTCTTCCAACAAAAGGTGTTTCAGCCCATGGAAGACGGCAAAGGCTGACCGAAACAATATGGTTTGTGAAACTATGTACGAAAATAATGTAGATTGGAGGAGAGAGAGTAGAGTTCGAGTGTTTTAGAGAGGTAGAAGAGAAGAAAGATATGTGAAACGGTGCATTTTAGTTAATTTACTCCCTCGTATTTATTATTTTTGTTATGTAATTTTCACCAAATTGAATTTAGGGTGCAATTTTAACACAAATTTAAACTGCAGTGTCTGAGAAAATCAAATTCATTTTGGGTATAATGTTATAAGTCGTAAAGTTGAAAGTTTATTGGGTATAACACCGCATTATTAATCTAAGTACATTACTTTTCTAGCATTTGCTAGTTGCTGTTCACATAGCGACAGTCCTTTCTAATCTCTCCTTCATCACCTGTAATCGGATTATTCTCCGATAACAAGAGCACAGCTCTAGCAAATTGATCATGGAAGTAACCGTTATCGGCAGCCATTCGTTCGACAAACGGAGATGTAATCGGATCGGAAGCTAATTGTTGATCTACTGAAAGTAATCCCTTGTGGTTCAATATATTCTTGTAATAAAAATTGTCAAGAATCATTGGTGTCTCCCTATCATTTCTTGCATATAGAACTGCCTTTGGGTCTGGGTCTGGAGTTGGGCATCGGCCTTTTAGGTATTCAGCATATTCAGGATCCAGAGTTGGATCAACGGTGGGATAGAGTCTTTGTACTAAATTCATACAATGAACTCTACCCACTGAGTGACCTCCTGCATGAATGTAGACAAATATTCGATCATCAATTGTTTTATAAAATTTTTAGGGTTAATTTTTATTTTTCTTGTCATTTTTTTTTTTTTTTGGGGAGAATTGGAGGTATTACTAGGTGATAAATTCTCGGTTTCTAATCGAGAACCGAACTAAATCAATTCAATTCAGTGGATTCGAATAATTGTTTTTGAAATTCGATTACCGATTGGTTTGAGTATATAAAATCATTTGGTTTTTGATTTTTGGTTTTTGGTTCGATTACCATATACACTAATCAAATTTATTTTAAGCTCAAAATAGTTAACTTGGTGTGAAATAACCAAATTCAAATTGAATCAAATCGATTTAAACGGTTTTAATTGGTTATTATATCATTTGATTTCGGATTTGGAGACCATAAAAATATATTCAAATAAATCGAAACCGAGCTAACTTAGTTTAGTTAATTGAATGCTCACCTTAGTGTTATCTCCTTCAACTTAGAGAGAGTAAAGATTTTTATCCCTCAGTTAATGCATTTTCAGAGGTTGAACTTTTGTTCTCGCTCTTATGCGGATTGGTATGCTTGTGTTTTTATAAAATTGGATATAATGTAATAGATTTATATACCTAAAAGAGCAACTGTTCCTTCAACATCAACGCCCACAGATTGAAAGCGAGAAAGAACCAGTGAGATGCTATCGTTGTGATTAGGGATGAAGTCTTCGATAACTGCTGCGTAACTTTCTTTGCTGTCTCTCCTTCCTGTTTTCATTTCAATTCTTGGTCCTCCCAACTGTTAACATACCAAAACACACACAATTAGATTAAATTAGGCCAAACTTATCTATTTTTTCTTAAGATTACCGAACTTTCAGTTAAAAATTGCTTTTCTGGTTAATTTTACTCTCACATAAGGTTTTAAACTTGAGCAGAATTACCATGACAATGCCATCTCTTGCAGAAAGAGCAACAACATCAGCACAAGAGACAGTGGAAGGGCATTCAGCTTCAAGGGCAGCTTTGATTGTGTTTACATACTTAAAATTTCTCATTCCAAAGCTTCTTGATGATGCTTTCTCCGATTCAATTCCGTTCACCGTCTCCAACAATAGCGAACCATCACATGACTACAATATATTATTAACAAGGTAATTATATATGGTGTAGTTGATGAAAGGTAATTAAACCAAAATTAGTACTATAATTAGTAAAAGATTACAGTACCTTAACAATGCAATCATGGAAGAGATTCCTAAGCCAGGAAACAGCAGTATTTCCATGCTCATTGTAGAGGTTGATGACTTGCTCTTTGATGATCTCTTCTGCTCTTGGACAAGTATTTGCATAGTAACCTAATTGGAGCTCGCTTTTACCTTAATTAACAACAATCAAGAACTAATTAATTAACATAATCAAGAAGAAAAAGAAGAGGAGGATATATGATTCTTTCATTGTAAATATATACACACTCGGTAAATGTACTTATTCAATATAATGATAACGATGCCAGAAACTACATTTAAAATATAATTTTACATGAAAAACGTTTCCGAAACGTGGAAACGCCCCATGACTATGAGTTTTCATGCATCATACCAGAATGAATCTGCAAGAGCAACGGTAATAACAGAAAAATGAAGCTAATTGAACTGGTGTTGATAGCCATTTTTTGTTTCGTGGCTTATATGTGTATTAAGTGATTGGAGTAAAGGATTTGGCATTTCTTATATAGTGTGCGAGAGAGGAATTTTGAAGCCCTTTCCTTAGGCCTTAGCCTCCACCACTACGCCACTTTCTTTGACCTTTCGGCTATTTTCCCCTCACGCTTGAGATTCCACTATTGCTCCTCAATTTTTTAGACATCAATTTGAATTTTTTTTTTTCTGTAAGAGAACAATTATATTCAAATATAATAATCCAATAATTAATATGTGTTTCATAATATATAATATCATAAATCTAATTTTTAATGAGAAAATTAATGAAAGACATGTAATTAGCATTAGATAAAACTTTAAGCAATCAAATTAAAAAAAAATAAAAAAATCTGTATTTGAATATATATATATATATATATATAATCGGATAAGCATTGAATTTTCATTTTCTTTTTTTTTTTTTTTTTATAAAAAAAATCTGTATTGAATATATATATACTATATATATTATTAATCGAATAACATTGAATTTATCATTTCTTTTTTTTTTTGTTTTTGAAGATTGCAATTTTTAATCTATCTGAATAGGGAAAGAATATTGTGTATCACATATATATAAAGAGGACAACAAATAATCTCTCTATTTTTGCATTTTGTGACTTTCTTGGCAATCTTAATAGTTGTATGTATTACAATGTTTATAACACTCAAATAATTTGATTGAAATAAAATAAATATATGGGCAAATAATTATAGATCAAATTTCCTGATGATTTATGTATTTAAATCTATATTTACCTTAAATTGCTCACATAATACAATCCATGATGAATTCTTTAATTCATAATAAGCTCCTTCCTTGGAAAAATTTGCACTACCAACATGGCTGTTTAATCATTAATACATCGAAGTTTTAATAATTTTAGTATTGATAAGGAGTTGACGAGCAGGATACTATCGATATTTGTTAATTTCACGAAAACAAATTTGACCCGATCCATTTCAGTTCGTTTTATCAAACATGCTCAAGTAGAAGTTTGATTGGTTAAGATTGCTTGGTTAGACGCAAAGTTATCGTTGCCTTAGTTTTGTTATACAGGGATTGATCTGTTATGCTTAAATAACCGATAAGATAAAAGTTGATCAAAAGTAGCCTAAAAGTCGATTGGTTCAGTTTTAGGGAATTGATTCCGTTTAATTTTCATTCTTTTGAATTCAGTTCTATTTTACTCTGAGAAGTTTATTTTGTATTTTCTATTTCTAATTCGGATTCAGTTTAAAACCAAACTTGATCGTTCGGCATCTCACCTCAGGCTATTGAATACTTCTTTTGTCCGAAATATTTGTGATATATTTCCGATTATAATTTGGTTGCTTATAGGCTCCAAATGAAGGGAATTGAAAAAGTTTGGGATAAGAACATTAAAATGAAATGACGTTAGATGTAAAAGGAAATAGGTAACCTTTAAATTGTGGGAGTTCCCATGGTCAAATTCGGCCATCTCTTAACTTAATGATCAAATGTAGGGCAAGTGGAGAATTAACTGTTCGGCCTATGTATAAGCTAGAAAGCGACCAGTTAAGTGCGACATGAGAAATTAGAATGTGAAAGTGACCAAAACATCAATTAATATATTAACTTTGTAAGGTCGGAAGTGATATCTTTTTTTTTTTTTTTTTTTATTAGTTAATCTTGGTTAGGTGTGTGGCGGCCAAGCGTGGCGCAATAATAATTATATGATGACTTTTCTATTTTTTAGATTTTTGAAAATTATTTTTTTAAATATTCTCATAAATAATTCAGTTTGATTGATGGAAATGATAAATTAACCCATTTCTTAATCTTTAAAACATTGATTTAAAATCGATATTGAAAATTTAATTATTCTGAAATTGTTTTTTAGGAGGTTGTTTCTTAGTCGGATATAAGTAAAAAAGAATTAAAAATAAAATCAATCCTATTTGACAATAGGAAATATATATATATATTATGATAAATATTATAGTATATATATATATAATATATATATATATGATAATATTATTAAGTAGCTAAGTTACAATTTTTTTCAATTGTGGACAAGTTTTTTCATTCATGCCATAAACAATATTTGATATTTGTTTTTTTTTTTTTTTTTTTTTGGATTGTATTTCTATTTTTTGTTTTTTCCAAGTTCTCATATGTGGAAGAAGAATCCCTATCCAAAATTTCAGACTCCATTAGTCCATAGTAGATAAAGCAGGCGGGCCAATGTATTTCTAGATTGAGGCCCATCAGGTCATATTCTTACCAGGATATACCGAAGCAAACCAAATGAATAGGCCCCCATTTACAGTTATTGTTTAACCATGTAATGAACGGTAACTCTTCAATTATGACGGGCGACTCCATCATACCATGGGTTTAAACGATGGGTGGAATTTGTTAATGATGCTAAAGAAATTAAGGCAAAGAAAAGATAAAATAAAAGCGCAACGTGTTTCTTTTTCTTTTTGTTTAGAAAAAAGGAGATAAAATAGAAAGTGACTTGTGTGGGCTCAAAAAAAATGTAAAACTGCAGAAAGGGGAAATGAAGACAAAAAAAAAAAAAAAAAAAAAAAAAAACGTAATCTATTTGTAAATCATGTATTTATAATCAAATAATATAAATTAATGTTATCTGTTGTTTTTTAAGATACAGATTCAAAATTTTAGAATTAGCAGACACAAATTCTTCAGCTAAAGAACAGAGATAAAAATTTCTTATTTTGGAGAGATCCAAGATGGATTAACGCCAGACAAATGGAAATAACATCACTAATAGCCTTTAACTATATACATAATATTTCAAAACAATATGGGACAAGTAATGTTGGCAGTTTAAACTTTATCCACGTAGCTGCCTCCCTGCCTAAGTTTTTTAAATGCTCAATATTGAATAATAAATACATACGAGGGGTAAGTGACAACGTACGACAAAAAGGTCAGAAAAATGAATGCACTAATAATACATAAATATATATAATGTGATAAAAATTTTAAAAAATTTTTTTAAAAATTAATCAACCTAATCAAAAGATCATCACATACATATCTTGGAAGGGGTACTGAGACGGAACTAACTGATTGAAGACTTTCAATTTTGACGTGCATGTGGGATAGAATGATAAGAATGATATCTTTTTTGTGATAATTAGAGAGGGGGTATAGAGAGAATTGGAATCCGTTGTGCGAGCTGTTGAAACGCTTTTTTCTAAAATATTAAGAATATCAACAATTTGATTTCTGTGCGTATCATTACGGGTTGAATCTTAAGTGCCGTTATTTTAAACTTAACCTGTCAATCAATACTAATTTTACAAAGACTTAACGAGTCTCTTTATAAAACACTCGGAAAAATGCTCCATTACCTTTTTAAATCCTTACTAAAATATATTTAGGTTCGCAGCTAGTGCATTTCAACTACCTTACGACGCAGTTTACTAAATAGAATCATATAATGGGGACAAAATTACACAAGGCATGGAAAGAGGAGGAGGTCAATTCTTTGGCTGCATGTTAAAAAGCTATTTTCTCATTATTCTAATTCCTCAAACCTCATAATTGCATATTTGTATTAGGTAGGACCTTTTCTTTTTCCAATTCCTTTCCTCCCAACTTATGGTTCTCTCTTTTTCTTTCAGTAATAATCTCTTTGTCTCTCTATCCTTCTGACAGCAACCATACTACAGAATTTGTTTTCGTATTATTTCCATGAAAATCACAACAAAAATTACGATCAAAGAATAAATTATTGAACTTAACCCTTAATATATACATATTATGTCTTCAATTTCATTTATCACATTAATCATAGTTAATACATATTTCACAAACAAAATCAAAATTTACATTTTGCCACAAGCTTCTCAATTTAGCAGTATATACGCTTTCATAAATTATATTACAAGCTCTTTTTTTCAGTTTCTTTAGTTTTACCGTCACAGCTTGCTCGGTGGAATAATAGATTCTTGATCAAGGTTGTGTTGTACTGTTGTGATGTTTCTTTTTTAGCAGCCAAATTAATGTTTAGCTCGCTAAAAAACGTAAGTTGCATATTCCCTCTCAAAGATTCTTGCTTGAATAAACAGAAATGCAAACCGTTCTGCCCAAACTTGAGGTGTTTTTCATATCAGCAGCGCAATATACTCTTGGCAACCTTAAATTTAACAAGGTGAAATCTTGGTCTTTTTATTATCCATGCCTCTGATAAATATGGTCTCAATTATCTCTTCTCTTCTTCCTTCTCATCTCTAACTTCATCTTCTTCTTTCATTGTTATGATTTGTGTTTGCTAGTTTTTATCATTTTTGGCATTAATCCAAGGTCTTAGTAAGCCAGGAACAACAGTTATCATTCTTGCACTTACGTTTTCTTTTCGTTGAATATGAACCCAAGCATCCAAAACCCTTTCACTTCTTCCATTTCTAGCTCTCCTAAGCTTCTGCCAACTCAATTGATTTTTCCCAGTTTACTAAATAGAAATTGAATTCTTATACTTTGGGTTGTTCGATTCTTGTTTCATGGCGAAAAAAGATTGCGAAGCAAGCTCTATTTGTGGAAAAGATTCGATCTTGTTTGCCTCTTCTTTTTCATAAAACAACCCTTATCATTCTTCTTTTTCTTCTTTATCACCCAAGTTAGTTATTCCTTTTTCAACGTAAAAAGAAAACCATTTACATAAAACAAGCATGGAAAAGCTTTATGTTAGTCTAAGTACAAAAGTACCATACGTTCGGTTCTGACACGAAAATAATCCGCATATTGGAATTGCTCGCGTTCTGCACCATTCTATTGCTTAACAAGAAACAACACAAAAACTACTCAAATGATAACATCTAACGAGCTTTAAGTCTTTCATAGAACTGAAGTCTGTCTTTCAGAATTTGAATAAGCGAAAAAGTAATAAGAAAAAAGATAAAAGTAGGAAAAAAGCTTTGCTTCAAAAATTAATTAATTATTACCTCTTGAAGATTATTGGAGGGGTTTGAGTAGGTGGTTATGGAGAGAATTCGTCTATAACTTGTGGGTTATGAAAAATTAGTGACCTACCAAGAGAAGCATTGGCACTGGTGGCTGTCGAATTTGTGTATCGTGAAACTAGCAAGAGTAAGGACGCATTAAAACTCTTAGAGTAAGAGGTAGTTATGAGGAC